TTATTAATATTTTGATTAACATTACAATAATTATGACTTGCAAAATTTGATTGATTATGTGTATCTTAGTTAATGGTAAAATCACTGCCCACCCCCTAACTCACCAACCAAACAAAAAATAAAAAAAAGCCCAATTATCAGTTACAAAATTTCAAATTAACCTTGCAATTATTTTAACTTTAGGAAAATATTCAATTATGGAAAAAGTTGTGGATTTATCTTTATTATGAAGCTTTCTTTGTTCGTTCATTATTTAACCCATTCAACCCGCGGGAAAAAAAAGTTTTGCTGTGCACCGAAAAATGATCTGAAATTTGAAATTAACTTTTTCTCGGGCCACATTTTCGAAAATTTTGATTGTTTGTTGTAGCGGGTTTTGTGTCTTTCTGATTCTCTAAAACCAGCCGCTTTCTTCTTTTGGGACTGAATGAGTTATATCAATTTTTTTTCCAAATTTTATTTTAAACATTTAAGAATTGATAAGAAAAACCTTGATTCTTGTTTGTTTAGTATGAGGTAAACGAGATAAAAGGATTTATATAAATAATTATAAACCCTTCATTTTAAATCACTTGCTTTGTGAACGTTAAACAGAGACGGCGATTAAAAAAGTTCAAGAAATTTCGACTCAGGTCTAAACAGTCATAATTTACGGGTTGAGCTTTCTGATTCAAGCTGCAGCATCTTATTTTCCACAGAGTTCAGTTAAAAAACCGGTTTGAAATTCAATTTGACGGATTTCCATGGTAGCAATTAGCGCATTCCGGTTTTTTTTTATAAGAATAAGACTCAACATTGAGCCTTATTCTCCACTAAAACCAATCAAGGTCGGTTTTATTTTCATTGGGCCTAACTCCTAAGTCAAGCCTATAAGATCTTGCAGTTGTCAATCACGTGACACAAGCTGTCGTCAGAGTTAGGTCTAAGATTGTGTCTCAAAGCTGGGTTTAAGGAATTAGGACCCGAGACGAAACTTTTAAATCCCGGGCTCAGTTAATTTATAAAAGGGATGGGTTAACAAGTAACGCCCTTTATAATAAATGTGGAAGATAAATTCTAAAAATAAGTGGCTATATATAAGCTTTTCATTTAATTAAACATTTGTTTGTATTTTAAACATGGAATTTGATTATTCTAACTCATTGCAGAAGCTTCCTGTCTTATTTTTCTAAATTTTTTATCTTTTCCAATGATTCAAATATTCTTGACAATCCATTTGATACGTTATGACTTTGTTTGATAGGCTTAGATTACACTTAACCCTAATTAGTCCACGGAAAAAATCATGCGACAACAATGGTATGACTTTGTGACCAGCTCGTAGCATACTCTATCTTGAGTTTACACAAATATATGAGAAAATCATATTTATTTGGTGAAATATTAAAAAATAACAAAAAATAAAAAATAAAAACTTTTTTATTCAGTAACAGGAGTTATGATTAAAAACATTTAAGATTTTAATGACAGGTTAAATTTACAATAAGCTCTGTTAAGGGTGATAGACGTCAAAACGGCTGAACCGATTGGGTCAAAAAAAAATTTGGCAACTCAAACGATCCCAGGAAAGTTTTTTATTGGAGAGCCATGATTAAGATGGCGACAACCGAAGAAACAGTTAATTTTAAAATAGCTGATCGAAAAGCAAAATATAAGTTACTTTTGCAAGAAGAAGGGCGGAAACATCAATTTAGCATGATTGGTTGAAAATAAAATTTTATCATCCACCTTCTGGTTTCTTTCCAACTTTTTATAGGTTTTACTACGCTTTTACTTTCCTAGCTTTGGTTGCAAGGCTCACTCATAGGATCACATTTTAGAGACGACTTTATGTGGTTTTAACAGGCTTATTTATTTATTATTTAGATTTATAAAGGGATCTGTACACATAGGTTGCTAATTCAATAATCCGTATTAATAAGTAATTACATAGAGAGAGGAAGACTAGAGTATATTCATAGAATCTGCTTAGGCGAAGTTCTTAGTTAAAGGGTACCGTTGTGAATCAAACATGTCACGCTTTTTTTTATTATGGTGATTAATTAGACATTATAGAACAAAATTCCCTTTAATAGATCACTGGATCTGTCATTCTTTTCATTTCAAGGACATTGATCAAATTTACAAATTCAGTCAAATTAAGAATCTTTAAATAAGTTTATTTTATCGTTTCATCATAAAGTATCAGGCTTTAAGAGTAGTGTCAACTATTAACTTGAGTCTACGTCTAAAAGTCAAATATCTTTTCCAGAGTTTTCTGGTTATTACTGTATTTCATTTATTCAATTATTTAACAATAACTGCCCTGTTTCATTTTGCAAATCTTAAACTAATTATTTTAGTTTTTTACATTTATGTACTAAATTCTATAGATAAAAAATAATTTGTTTCCAGATATTATTGTCATTTCAAATGCTGTGTTGATGAAAGTTCAATTATATGAAATTAAGCAATGAAAAGATTGAAATTAAGCAATGAAAAAGATTGAAATCAAGCAATGAAAAAGATTGAAATCAAGCAATGAAAAAGATTGAAATTAAGCAATGAAAATCATTGTAACAACTCCCCGCCTCGTTCACTTCGTTTCACTCAGTGCACCCCCCCTCTTACAAACATACCCAGGTACAGACCTGGAGAGTAACCCTGTGTAAGCGATCAATTAGTCATAAAAGTGATATTTGACGGTATCTAATTAAAATATCAAATATTTTGCATAAACGAGTTAATTAGACTTATTAATTTAATATGATTTATATTTATATTTTAGTTGGTTTATTATATTTTAGTTGGTTTTTTATAGTTTTGTTGGTTTACTATATTTTAGTTGGTTTATTATAGTTTAGTTGGTTTACTATATTTTAGTTGGTTTATTATAGTTTAGTTGGTTTATTATATTTTAGTTGGTTTATTATAGTTTAGTTGGTTTATTATGTTTTAGTCGGTTTAATATAGTTTAGTTGGTTTATTATATTTTAGTTGGTTTATTATATTTTAGTTGGTTTATTATATTTTTGTTGGTTTACTATATTTTAGCTGATTTATTATATTTTAGTTGGTTTATTATAGTTTAGTTGGTTTATTATATTTTAGTTGGTTTATTATATTTTAGTTGGTTTATTATATTTTAGTTGGTTTATTATATTTTAGTTGGTTTATTATATTTTAGTTGGTTTATTTATATTTGAATCAGAATAATCATAATATGGCGGTTCCAGTAGAGTAGAGAGGTTTCGAGAACTTTTATTTCAGCAAATCTAGTTTCTGTCAAATGGATTCTAGTACAATAGATGGCAACGTAGAATTTGTACACTCTCAGTACAGATGTATTCTGACGTCACAAGTGTCAACTTAGTTTTTGTGTCCGACAAAATTATTGATAATTGTGGTAGTTTAAGAATAAAGTTCTTATCTTACAGTAAAATAAGCTCAATTTATGTGTTCTTTATTTTCTGTTTTTACACTTTTTTATTTAATCTAGGCAAACATGTCAACTAATGTGAGAAAATTTCGTTTTTCTTGTTATATTTGACACTTGTGACGTCATGTGTAGTTGATCCATTTCTCTGTTGACACCTATTGTACTTGTTAATCTATTTGGTTTCTGTTCTTAAAACTTCAGCTATAATTACAGGGTCAACTAAAGAAAAGACGACTTAAGTCTCTTTAAATATGACGTCTGACTGAAATGTGGTCTATAAATGGCTTATTTAACCCTATCCCCGCTGGGGTACTTGAAAACCAGGATACGCTGGGGGGGGGTCAATTTGACCCCCCCCTCTAAATCCCATGTTTTATGTCCAAATATGACAAATGATACATCATTAGAAAGCTCTTGTGCTCTACTTTTAGAATCTGCAAAAAAAATTTGCAAATTTGCGAAAATTGAATTTTTTATCGCAAAATCCAGTTTTATAGTAAAAATGTTTGCAAAAAAAAATTTGTCCAAAAAATGACAAATTATACATTTTTGAAAAGCCCTTGACCATGCCATTTCAAATATGCAAAAATTTTTGCAAAATTTTAAATAACCTGATTTTTAATCAAGAAAAACTAAAAATGTGCAAATTTCCTTTGACAGGTTGTTTGCAAAAAATTTGCAATTTTTTTTTTGCAAAACTTGTGCAATCCGTTTCCTTATGTCATAGGCTTTCCAAAAAGCTAAATTTTATCAAAATTTGACAAGTGAAAGTGGGTCAAAACAAAGATTTAGTTTGCTACAGGCAAAAGCAGTCATTCAGGCAGTGTGCCTGAGGACTCAGGCAGTTAGTATTAAAGCCCGGTTTTAGGCCTAAAGGGAGGGCTTTGGGTATGTAAGAAAAGTCAGAAAATTTCAACAGCCTCAGACCAATACTTTTTGAGTTATGTAAAAAAAACTACAGGGGGGGCTCAATTTGACCCCCCCCCCCAGCGGGAATAGGGTTAATGATTTAGAAAATAAAGCAGGAGTGGCAGGAAACCATAAGGAAATGCGGACAGTATGACAGTCGTCTCATAAAGTCTTATATGTAGTTATATATAGTTATATTATTTGGCACTTTTCCACAAACATATTGGTTTATTTACAAAATTTATTAACACTTACTCTCTCTATGTTAATGTTTGTAAATTTCCAGTCGAAACCACCCTGAAAACGTTCCCCCCTTTTTTCTGAAATAATTAGATCCTTCGTACATGCCAATCTAAAAAATAAGAAGGTCACTAGAAATTGGGTTTACAGTTCCATTGAATTTATCATAAATTTAATCTCCCTGAGTCCATATTTCCTTAGAAGACATTGTCAAGTCACCATGTTGGAAATTTTGCAAAATCATAAATTTTCTTTAGTCCAAAAGTTATACATGGAAAATCTAAAAAAATCTCGGAACATGTTTATATCTCGTAATTGATACAACCTGTGTAATATACAAGTAAGTTATCGTGCAAATGTTTTAATGGTCAGAATTAATAAAAGAATAAAAGAAAATGAAAAGTAAAACTTTACAAATGATTTCATACTCTCAGAAATGAAAGCCAGTGAATCAAAAAGAAACAATACTATTTTTATTTTTTTTAACTTTTCAGAGAAAATGTTACGCCTTCTTGCTTTTTTCACCGTGGTATGTAAAATAAAAAAATAAAAATTGAAATCATGTTTTTAAAATTCATTTTTTTGAAGACGACATTTAATACTGTATTTTTCCAGGTTGGACTTGGTTCCAGCTTAAGAGACGATTCCTGCAGGGTGAGGATTAATAAAAATTATCAAGAATAGAAATAAAATTTGAGAATTGGTTAAGCATAAACAAAGGCGTATACAGGGGGGGGGCTGTGGGGGCTTAGTCCTCTTCTTGAATTAGTTATGATTTCTAGGGGAAGGTTCAGACTCTTAGGTTAGAAACTCTCGATGCACTTCAATGTACGGAAAATGTCGTCTCTTAAGATGTATAAATACCCAATATGACGTAACTGATTATAGAGGCGAGAGTGACGTCATATTGAGTATTTCTCTATCTATCTTAGGAGACGACATTTCCGTACATTGAAGTGCATCGAGAGTAACTAACCTTATTATACAACCTTGTGCAGATCCCAATGGATGCTGACTGCTGAGCCCCTGGAAAGACAAATATTTTTAGCCCCCCCCTCTCTCTAAGACAAATTGCTGTAAACGCCCCTGATAAGGATGAACAATATTGAAATTATGATTAAAATTCTATTTCTATTTTGACCAAATTTTTCAGAAAGGAGTATTTGAGTAAAAAGTCTATATAGCTATCGTCTAGATCTTCGAAATAAGAAATTTGATTCGTCAAATGCAAATTCAAATTGGGTATTTTATGACCCCGTTTTATGGATGATAAACTTAGATATTTTTGTTTTAGGATTACTTGTACAGTGAGTGCAAGATGCCTGTTCCAGTTTCTGAAGTTCATGCATTAACTATTGAAGAGTGCAAGGCTACATGTGATGTAAGTTGACCCTAAAGAATGTTGCTCCAGGGAGAGGGATTAGAGGGAGAGGGGCCTTTGAATATAGAAATGCAAAGCATATTTATGCTTAATTCACATTTTTTATGCCAATTAATTTTTTAAATTTTTAAATCTTGCCCAAATATTTTCCTCTTCGGAAAATATTTGAATTAAATTAAATTTACTAAATGTTAATTCTGAAAGGGACTATAAGTGTAATAAGTGACCCTCCGTGCAAAGCTGTATATGACATATTCACAACGGTACCTTTGAAACCTTTATTTTATCAAAAATGTGGAAGATATTTTCGTTTTCTTGATTTAATTCTGATATTCTAAAAGTTTTCAGTTAAATTTTGCTCAAACCACAATTGAAAAAATAACTTTTAAACATTGATATCTAATTCATACTTGATAAGATTAAACTTTGAAGGGTACCGTAGTGCATCGTGTTATCTTTACATCGAGGAATTACGATCAAAGTCCATTTAAGTAAAACTATTTTCAATTTCAGGTGTTTGCTTCCTTTAATCAGTGCTCCTTCTTTTCCTTTAACAATCCGGCTGCAGTTGATGAAAATTGCAAGGTAGGAAAGGTTTTCAAGATGGAAGGAAAAGGATATCAAGAGCAAGAAATTAATTGGCTAAACATAAAAGATTATCTAAATTTCTGATTCTCAAGTTTAAAAAAATAAAAGATTTGCAGAAAACAATAATATTTATTCCTAACAATTAAAATCATTGAACTGACTTATCATCATCAAAGGAAAGATAGTGAAAATGAGAGAATGAAAGAAATCATAACAAAAATAATCAAAATAATTCTAATAATAATATTAAAAATAATAATTATAACACTTGTTCTGATAATGATAATGATAAAAATGATAATAAATATAATAATAATGACAATATTCGTGTTAATAAAAATTATAATAATGATTACAATAGTAAAAATAAGAATAGTTTTTATAGGATGCTAATTTTCATGCATTTTTCTAGATTTTCGCGGATGAGACAATTGAGGAGTTTTTGGCCGGTTGCAACCTTCGTGGACAGCCTTTGAAGGATTCTCTAGGAAACTGTTTCTATAACGGGGTAGGTTGGTTCATACTAACACAGGATAGGTTGATTCATACTTACACAGGATAGGTTGATTCATACTAACACAGGGTAGGTTGGTTCATACTAACACAGGGTAGGTTGGTTCATACTAACACAGGGTAGGTTTGTTCATACTAACACAGGGTAGGTTGGTTCATACTAACACGGGGTAGGTTGGTTCATACTAACACAGGGTAGGTTGGTTCATACTAACACAGGGTTGGTTGGTTCATACTAACACAGGGTAGGTTGGTTCATACTAACACGGGGTAGGTTGGTTCATACTAACACGGGGTAGGTTGGTTCATACTAACACAGGGTAGGTTGGTTCATACTAACACAGGGTAGGTTGGTTCATACTAACACAGGGTAGGTTGGTTCATACTAACACAGGGTAGGTTGGTTCATACTAACACAGGGTAGGTTGGTTCATACTAACACAGGGTAGGTTGGTTCATACTAACACAGGGTAGGTTGGTTCATACTAACACAGGGTAGGTTGGTTCATACTAACACAGGGTAGGTTGGTTCATACTAACACAGGGTAGGTTGGTTCATACTAACACAGGGTAGGTTGGTTCATACTAACACAGGGTAGGTTGGTTCATACTAACACAGGGTAGGTTGGTTCATACTAACACAGGGTAGGTTGGTTCATACTAACACAGGGTAGGTTGGTTCATACTAACACAGGGTAGGTTGGTTCATACTAACACAGGGTAGGTTGGTTCATACTAACACAGGGTAGGTTGGTTCATAACAACACAGGGTAGGTTGGTTCATTCTAACACAGGGTAGGTTGATTCATACTAACACAGGGTAGGTTGGTTCATAATAACACGGGGTAGGTTGGTTCATACTAACACAGGTTAGGTTGGTTCATACCAACACAGGGTAGGTTGGTTCATACTAACACAGGGTAGGTTGGTTCATACTAACACGGGGTAGGTTGGTTCATACTAACACAGGGTAGGTTGGTTCATACTAACACAGGGTAGGTTGGTTCATACCAACACAGGGTAGGTTTGTTCATACTAACACGGGGTAGGTTGGTTCATACTAACACGGGGTAGGTTGGTTCATACTAACACGGGGTAGGTTGGTTCCCACAAACACAGGGTAGGTTGGCTCATGCCAACACAGGGTAAGTTGGTTTATACTAACACGGAATAGGTTGGTTCATAAATTGCGAGCCTATTAAAATCCTTGATATTTTCAATCATTACTCTTCTATGTAGAGCTTTTGAGAAAAAAAAAACTGTTTTGAATTTTAATATGCAACCGGATAAGATTGTTCTACTTGTTCGTAAAACTAAAAACTAGATGAGCAAGGATCGATGGGACCAGTAAACTCGCATAAAGTTCTCCTTCTGTCTAGTTCTGTGTGGGAAAACATAGTCTTTCTAAGAGAGTCCTTTTCAAACAGAAATATAGAATGTTTAATTTCTGAAAGGGAGTGTTTGCGAAAAATGAAAGGGGGTATAGGCTTGGTGCGATAAAAAAGCGCTTTTGATCGCTACTAATCTTATTTCTATCTGTTGCGTCTGTAAGGAGAAAATTGTTAAAAACGACTAATACCGAATAACGTAGTGTCCATACAAATTCAGAAAGATGCAACATACGACTTAGACCGTAAAAAATCAATTTAATTTCAAACAAATCATTCAGAGATTACAACCTATAGTCAACGATTATCTTTCGCCACATTTGTTTATAGTTTATTTTCATAATATGTTTTAATTCTTATGATCTGAGAGTCACATTTATGCCTGTTTCGAGGATTTTTGGTAATGAAGACGACATTTTAATATTTTCCAGGAATGTTCGAAAACAAGTTGTAAGCTGAATATTTTAAAAAAAAATAAAATCAAAACATATTATGAAAAATCAACTATATACAAATGTGGCGAAAGATAATCGATGACTATAGGTTGTAATATTTGAATGATTTGTTTGAAATTAAATTGATTTTTTTAACGATCTAAGTCGTATGTTGCATCTTTCTGAATTTTTATGGACACTACGTTCTTCGGTATTAGTCGTTTTTAACAATTTTCTCCTTATAGACTCAACAGATAGAAGTAAGATTAGTAGCGATCAAAAGCGCTTTTTTATCACATTAAGCCTATACTTTTCAGAAAATTCTCATGTCTGTTTCATAAATGCTTAATAATTGTTTAGGCAACTTGTCCTGGAACTTGTATATTAATTAGGCCACTTGTCCTGGAACTTGTATTCTAATTAGGCCACTTGTCCTGAAACGTGTGTTAACTGTATTTTGTTTAGGCCACTTGTCCTGGAACTTGTATTAACTGTATTTGGTTTAAGCCACTTGTCCTTGAACTTGTGTCAACTGTATTTTGTTTAGACCACTTGTCCTGGAACTTGTATTAACTGTATTTTGTTTAGGATACTTGTCCTGGAACTTTTGTCAAATGTATTTTGTTTAGGCCACTTGTCCTGGAAGTTGTAATAACTGTATTTTGTTTAGGCTACTTGTCCTGGAACTTGTATTTTAATTAGGACACTTGTCCTGGAACGTGTGTTAACTGTATTTTGTTTAGGCCACTTGTCCTGGAACTTGTATTAACTGTATTTTGTTTAGGCAACTTGTCCTGGAACTTGTGTAACCTGTATTTTGTTTAGGCCACTTGTCCTGGAACTTGTATTAACTGTATTTTGTTTAGGCTACTTGTCCTGGAACTTGTGTCAATTAACTGTATTTTGTTTAGGCTACTTGTCCTGGAACTTGTGTCAAATGTATTTTGTTTAGGCCACTTGTCCTGGAACTTGTATTAACTGTATTTTGTTTAGGCTACTTGTCCTGGAACTTGTGTCAACTCTATTTTATGTAGGCCACTTGTCCTTGAACTTGTATTAACTGTATTTTGTTTAGGATACGTGTCCTGGAACTTGTGTCAACTGTATTTTGTTTAGGCCACTTGTCCTGGAACTTGTATTAACTGTATTTTGTTTAGGATACTTGTCCTGGACCTTGTATTAACTGTATTTTGTTTAGGATACTTGTCCTGGAACTTGTGTCAAATGTATTTCGTTTAGGCCACTTGTCCTGGAAGTTGTATTAACTGTATTTTGTTTAGGCTACTTGTCCTGGAACTTGTATTTTAATTAGGCCACTTGCCTGGAACGTGTGTTAACTGTATTTTGTTTAGGCAACTTGTCCTGGAACTTGTATTAACTGTATTTTGTTTAGGCTACTTGTCCTGGATCTTGTGTCAACTGTAATCCCTGTACAAACAACCCCTGCAAGGGTTATCTCGAGATTGATTGCCAGGTATTAAATTTATTGAGTCTTTGCCACAAACTCAGATTTGTAATCACTATATCGTTGCAACCCGATGTTGTAGACCTTTGATATTTTAAATTAATAATTATGTTAGATCAAATAATCTAAGTTTTAATTATAAAAGATTAACACCTTCAGATTGCAAATATATAGAAACTATAGACATTGGAGATTCAATTCCTTTACGTATATTTTATCTTAAAAAAACGTTGTTTGCATTCATGGGTTAGTTCAAGTTTCTTTTTCAAGCGACTTCGCTAAAATATGAAAAATGAACTTAGTCTTTTTCACAAACTCTGTTTTTCTAGTCTCTACGCAACCCAATGTCGTAGACCTTGATATTTTAACCTATGCATTCTATTTATCAAATAATTTAAGATTAAAGTGTTAAAGGTTTACACCATCAACTGCAAAGATATAGGGAATAGAAAACTTCAGTCTTCGCAAAAGTATGCTCTAAAAGTTATATTTTGTTACACTACATCGAAATTTAAGTAAACAATTACTTGGTTCCATGGAGAAAATAATACTTTGAGATATTGCAATTTTACAAAATTTAACTTCCAAAGTTTTGAGATGTCTTAAATAATAAAAATGTAATATTAAAAAATAATAAGAAAAAAAGTTCAAAACCATATTCATAAAGAGATTAAGCACAATGAAGGCAGATAATTTATGTCAATATTACTTATCCTATTTTAAATAAATATGTTTTTTTAAATGTCATAAAAAAAATTCAAGTTTCAGTGCAGTGCCCTAGGATAAAAATACTAAATCAGTCCGATATCAGTGAAATAAGTTTTATGATGTTAGCAAAAAGATGAGTTTTGCATTCAATGTTGTTTTCATTTTATTTTGAAAAAAAAGACCAAATTCTAGAAAAAAGGCCATATTCTAGAAAAAAGACCATATCCTAGAAAAAAGACCAAATCCTAGAAAAAAGACCATATTCTAGAAAAAAGACCATATTCTAGAAAGAAGACCATATTCTAGAAAGAAGACCATATTATAAAAAAAGACCATATTCCATAAAAAGACCATATTCTAGAAAAAGACCATGATCTAGAAAAAAGACCATATTCTAGAAAAAAGACCATATCCTAGAAAAAATACCATATTCCATAAAAACACCATATTCTAGAAAAAAGACCATGATCTAGAAAAAAGACCATGATCTAGAAAAAAGACCATATTCTAGAAAAAAGACCATATCCTAGAAAAAAGACCATATTCTAGAAAGAAGACCATATTCCATAAAAAGACCATATTCTAGAAAAAAGACCATGATCTAGAAAAAAGACCATATTCTAGATAAAAGACCATATTCAAGATAAAAGACCATAATTTAGAAAAAGATAACATACATATTAAAAGATTCCTGCGGCCGAGGAGGGTTTAAAACATAAAAAAATTGTACAGCAATATTAATGGAAAAATACTCTGTGTTTTACTTATACAAAATTCTTTAAATTTCAGATAAAAAAATAATTTATTTTCAAAAACATTTAGAATGTTGGAAACGGAAACCCTGAAGAGTCCCAGAATAACTTACCTGAAGAGGGCTGCAGACAATTTTGTTTTAATCTGATGAGTAAGTTTAATTAATCTGATGAGTGAGTTTGGATTAATCTGATGAGTAAGTTTAATTAATCTGATGGGTAAGTTTCAATTAATCTGATGAGTATGTTTGGATTAATCAGATGAGTAAGTTTGGATTAATCTGATGAGTAAGTTTGGATTAATCAGATGAGTAAGTTTGGATTAATCTGATGAGTAAGTTTTGATTAATCTGATGAGTAAGTTTGGATTAATCTGATGAGTAAGTTTGGATTAATCTGATGAGTAAGTTTCAATTAATCTGATGAGTAAGTTTGGATTAATCTGATGAGTAAGTTTCAATTAATCTGATGAGTAAGTTTGGATTAATATGATGAGTAAGTTTCAATTAATCTGATGAGTAAGTTTGGATTAATCTGATGAGTTAGTTTGGATTAATCTGATGAGTAAGTTTGGATTAATCAGATGAGTAAGTTTGGATTAATCTGATGAGTAAGTTTGGATTAATCTGATGAGTAAGTTTGGAATTAATATGATGAGTAAGTTTGGATTAATCTGATGAGTAAGTTTGGATTAATATGATGAGTAAGTTTCAATTAATCTGATGAGTAAGTTTGGATTAATCTGATGAGTAAGTTTGGATTAATATGATGAGTAAGTTTGGATTAATCAGATGAGTAAGTTTGGATTAATCTGATGAGTAAGTTTGGATTCAAAATTCAAAATTCAACTTTTAATGTAACGAATTTCTTTTTTTGAAAAGTTCTTATAAGCTCTGTTTAAATTTGTTGAAAAAAAGATAGAAAAACAAATAGTTGTCCGATTCACAACGGTACCCCATAGACAAATTTAAAAGATCAAGGAAGAAGGATCCTTATTTATCAAGAAAAGCTTTTTGTAAATTTAGGGTTTCTCTGCATAAACCATCAGAACTAGAAATGAAATACACAGAATTCAACAATTTTTTAGATAAAAAACGATATTTTCCTTTTAGTTACTTAGACAAAGGTTTAATGGGTACCTTTGTAAATCAGACATGCCACTCAGTTTCTCCAAATGTGTAAAGAGAATAAACGAGATGGACTTAAATATCTTCTCTTTAAAGGAAAATTTTGCATACAATTACAAATTAAGTAAAACTTTTCAAAAAAACCTTAAACTATTAAAAACTAGGCTAAGAACAATGTCCAACTTTAAATTATGGTGACACTTGGCAAATTATTAAATTAGATTTATTTTTAAAAATGATAAATTTCAGATTCTTCAAAACTGACCTTCTTGACTTTCTTGAAGGAGGAAGAGGTTTGCAACTGCTTTCAATCAGGTGAATAAACATAAACATATTCATGTAAAAAGGAATTGAGTTTCTGCAACAAACTCAAATTTTCTAATCCGTATATCTTTGACACCTGATGGTGTAAATCATTGATATTTTAAACGTAGATGATTTAATTTAACAAAATTATTCATAGTTTGAAATGTCTAAGGTCAATGAGGGTTGGAAAGATAAACGGGTAGAAAATCAGAGTTTGTGGCAAAGACTCAATTCCTTAAACAAATATTCAGATTTCTAAAAAACAGATGAAAACTTTTCGTTTCCTGACTAAAACTGTTTATTTCAGGAGAGAGAAACTGCAAAACCCAGATTCTAACCTTTGATACAGATATCACATGTAAGTTCTAGCCTAGGAACAAAAATACAAAAGTACAATGATGGTAAATAAAACACCCCTGACTTAACAGGGATAAATTCATTCGGTTTTTTACATTATATATCAATTACATTATATAAATCAACATTTTTAATCAAAGCATGATTGGGCGTTTAATAACACACCTGTCGACAAAAAGTTTAAAAGAGAAAATTTATGTCAAATTTCAATCAAAAATCACAGTTTTCTGGGACTTGACTGGACCGGACAATTAAATCCGTGTGAGATCTATCTAATGAATATGTATGCATCAAAATAAATGCCTGAACCATCGAAGCCTTTCTGAGAGTGTACCTGCATGTACCGCTTCTATGAAAGCTTAAAAATCGTTTAATTGTTTATTATTAATCGTTTATTGCGTTCAAAGATTAAAAAATAAAAAAAAGTTATTTTCAATCGTTGCCTGTTCCAAAGGCACCCAGTCTAAAAATTGCATGATCCCTGTCGGCACAACACGTACTACTGAATATGTAGTCCGTTGTACCGTCCAGTCAGGCTATCCGAGTAGAGTCGACCCGGCACGATTTATGCAACAAATGTAGCTTGGCATGATTGTATTTTAAACTATGCAAATGTCATAATGTGATAATATTTATAATTTCAGGTGTTCCTTAATCAGGTGTATACTGTATAGGTTATGGACGAAGCTTGTTTTAGTTGTAAATTTTCTGAAATAAAGTGATTTTAGATTTTTTGTATTTATATATATCCAATTCTTATAAAGATAAAATAATGTGTTTGTTATAAAAATTTTTGGATGCATTACAAAGTTTTGGATCCAGTCTAAAATTCCATAAACCTTTAAAACCGAACCAAAACACTTGACAACACTAAATGTACTTAGATAGATAAGGCTTTCATAGTAACGATTATCTTTATAAAAAAAATTCTTATCTTCGTCCTGTTGCAAAAAAATGTTTACTCTTTCTCAAAATATGTATTTTACTAAAATAATAAGATACAGTTTTAATAAATCAAGAATAATAAAATAATTAATATGAATCAAACAAATAAATAATCACATATTTCTACTTGCGAATAAAAAGTTGTAGCTTTTGAACTAGTTTTCTTTTACAAATTGGAAAATGATTTCCGTCTTATTTCATAATTTTTTATTTAAAAACTAAAATAAAATAGCAAATTATAGACTTTTACTTTTAAACCTACAATTTCATTCTTAAAGTTATCTGTTTAAAAAAAATTGTTAAAAGAGTCTTATGGTTTATTAGAAGTTTAAAAAAAACGTACAAAAAATTGGTTCATCTGATTGCAAATGTTTAGAATAAACAGTTGAAATTTAAAAAACTTGAAAAAACTTAAGTGTTAAAAATTAAAGGATGAATTGCCTGACACTAAATCAAGTCTATTCCTATTCAGCTAATAGAAGTGGTTTAACTTAAATTGCGTGGTTCAACTTAGATAACACGGTTCAACTTTGTTTAGCTATTTATTAAATCTGGTCTCTGGTTCTCTATATATATATATATATATATATATATATAGAGAGAGAGTTTTGAGTTGAGAGTTAATATAGTTAATTTTAACCATTTAAAGGGGCAGTAAGCGTAATTTCTAGTGACCCTCCATTTAAAGCGGGGAATGCACCCTTTTAACCTTTTTCAGAGCAAAGCTCATGCGAAGTATTCTTGTCATTCTACTTGAAAAGTGACAGATTCTATATTTGCAGTTTCACTAAAAAAGTAACTGGTGAATTTATACAATTGGATAAAATAATTTTCTAAAAGAATCCCATGATATCTTTCTCAAGATTGCTTATGTAGGGGTTTAAAGGCCAACCATTAAATCGGACATGAGGGGAAACGTCGACAGTTCCTTTAACAACCTAATTAAAAGGATTTAGATTCAAGTACCATTGCATAACCTATAAATGATAAGCATATCCTGTTGTTAAACACCGTTACAAATTTCGTTCGTTAAATCGGACAATAGAAACTATTTCTAAATTACAAACTAAATTTCTAAATTGAGAATTTGTTAGGAATATCCGACACATTTTTATATCCCTAACATTAAAGTTTGTGATTTTGAACCAAATGTTTTCCAATTCTTAATGTTTTCTGTATGTTTGATATCACGAACCAAATATAATGTGTTCTTTTAATAGTGTAAGGTACAACTAATTTTTTTATTTAAAAATGTAAAATTTTTTTAACAATTCCAATTTGTGAAAAAGTCTGAATTATACTCTGCAGCCAACTCATCCTCTCCTAAAAAGACAGTTTGGATATTTTTTATCAAAATCTTCTTTTAGACAAAATTATTCTGCTGAAACCTTTTATCCCAAAGTTTTTAAATAAAATATTACATATTTTATAACAGAAAATGCACAAATTCTTAAAAATAATAATGAAGAAATTTGTTTTAAAAAATCGTTTTTAAATAAAATGTAACGAAACAACCTCCTAGAAACTTGATTGCAAGAAACATTATTGTTGGAAACATGATAACTAGAAACATTATTGTTCGAAACATGATTACTAGAAACATGGTTACTAGAAACAAGATTACTAGAAAGAAGATTACTAGAAACATGATTACTAGAAACATGATTGCTAGAAACATGATTACTAGAAACATGATTGCTAGAAACATGATTACTAGAAACATGATTACTAGAAACATGATTACTAGAAATATGATTACTTATAGAAACATGATTACTAGAAACATGATTACTAGAAACAAGATTACTAGAAACATTATTACTAGAAACATAATTACTAGAAAAATGATTGCTAGAAGCATGATTACTAGAAACATGATTGCTAGATACATGATTGCTAAAAACATGATTGATAGAAACATGATTACTAGAAACATGATTGCTAGAAACATGATGGCTAAAATCATGATTGCTAGAAACATGTTGCTAGAAACATGATTGCTAGAAACATGATTGCTAAAAACATGATTGCTAGAAACATGATTACTAGAAACATGCTCGCTAGAAACATGATTGCTAGAAATATGATTGCTAGAAACATGATTACCAGAAACATGATTGCTAGAAACATGATTGCTAGAAATATGATTGCTAGAAACATAATAGCTTGAAACGTGATTGCTAGAAAAATATGATTACTAGAAACATATGATTACTAGAAACATATGATTACTAGAAACATATGATTACTAGAAACATATGATTACTAGAAACATATGATTACTAGAAACATGATTACTAGTAACATGAGTATAAATCTTTTTAAATGTTTAAAATCATATTTTGAGCTTGAACTGAACAAACGCAAGTTAAGTCGCTACATCTAATTTTTTCCTAAATAATCTATGGGTAAAATTTACCTGGAGTTTTGACTAGAGTCCACCCCTGAATCATCTTCTTGTTCTACTGAAGTACCTGGAGTACCTCGTGTGACCTGAGTAAACTTTGATTCATCTGCACCCTCCAGTAGGAATTGTAATTTTCGTAATCCACCTAAATAAAATAGGTATAGATAATCAGATGTGCAACTAGGGTATTTTCTAGGGGGTAGACGAGGGACCCCCCCCCCCAGGCCCTCATACCTGATTAATATAACCCCAGGCCAAAATACATGAGTATTAAACCCCCGGCCATACTTCCTGATTAATATAACCCCCAGGCCATATCACCTGAGTAAATAACCCCCTAGGCCCTAATGCCTGAGTAATATAACCTCCAGGCCATATTACATGAGTAATATAAACCCCAGGCCATAATATCTCATTAATATAACCCCTCAGGCCATACTACTTAAGTAATATAACCCCCAGGCCATAATTTCTGAGTAAAATAGCCCCCAGGCCATAATACCAGAGTAATATAACCCCCAGGTCAGAAAATCTGAGTAATATAAACCCATAATATCAGAGTAATATAACCACTAATCCATAATACCTGAGTAATATAACACCCAGGCCTTTAAACTCACAGTTTATAATACCTGAGCTAGGAATTATACTTGGTAGCGGTGGAACTTTTGGTCCAATTTCATTCTTCAATTTATTTATGCTTAAAGGATTCACAGATATTTTCTAAACAAAACATTCGATAGAATTTAAATATGTTAAAATTGGCAAAGAAATGCTATGTGAAGACGAAATAGTGTGTCGAACATTTTCGTTCACAATTTTATGGATTTTATCTAAATCAAGGTTATAATGCAAGGAAAGTTAATTGCAGATGCGTATATTCTGCGTACATATTGAAACAAGTTCTCTTTGAGCGGAGTTTGTAAACAAGAATAGATGCATCAGTGTTTAGTATCCGAGGAGGTTAAAAGAATTAAATTTTGATAATTTTAATAATTCACATAATAGTTTCCTATGACCAGAATATTTCATTGATTTTTTATGTGAAAGATGGATCCCATGCCAGGCGGTAACATCCGTCTTGTGTTTACATTACAGCCCAGAGACAGTACACTGCAGTACAAAAGATGGGTACACCTCTGAAATAACTTTCCTTGTATTATAACCTTGATCTAAATTATCATAGTGAGCAGTAAAAATAATTTAAAATTTCTATTTCTATCTTAACGCCACATTCCAAGGGATGAAAATATTTAAAAACTACAAAATGGATAATTTCATTGCAACGTAAATAAATACTTAAGTGGAACAGACAGATTAAAGATGACTAGTGAGGCCATAAGCTATTATTTGGTTTTGTAAACTTTCCAAATTATTGTCGCGGGAACCAATTATGAGTTTTTCCACTTTATAATGTATTCACTTTTCTTTCATTTTTTTGTCACTTATCTTATTCAATGTTTTGTGAGCCTAAAGTTAAACTCACTAATTAGGATTCACAAATGCGGCACACTTTTGAGAACCTACTTTTCGGGGACACACTGTTGAGGACGCAGTTTTCAGAACGCACTTTAGAGGAAGAATTTTTAGAATGCACTGTGGAGGACGTAATTTTGAAGACTCAATAATTAGGACACATTTTGGAGGACACACTGATGAGAACACCCCAATTAGGACGCACTTTTAAAGAATGTACTATCGAAAACACCCTAATAATGACGCACTGATGATGACACAAAAATCAGGAAAGACTGATTAAAACCCACTAATGAGGACGCAATAATAAGGGCGTACAAATAAAGATGCACTATTAATGAGGACGAACTAATGAAAACAAACTAATGTGGATGCATAAATGAGGACGCAATAATAAGGGCGTAAGAAACCTCTCTTGACCGACAGATGAGAATGGAAAGTGGATGGAACTATCCTCAACAATGGAAAGGGAACGCGGATGGAACCATTCTTGACTAAGAACACAAAGAATGGAACGAAACGGGATGAAACCGTTCTTGACAAAGGACACTAAGAATGGAACGGAATGGAATGTAGATGGAATGATTGGGAAAAGAACAAACGAGGAAAGAACGATCTAGCTGAAGGCCCTCATTCTAGAACGAAACTAAACAATTTTTAAAAAGTCGGAACGTGCCCAGCCCTAGATATGATGAGGAACTTTTAAGAATGTACCTATAAGGACCCACTAGTAAGGGTTCGTGCAGGAATGATAACACACTAAGGAGGAAAAACTAATGAGGGTGCTTGGTGCAGTTAAAATAATTAATTATTAAATTATTGTTTTACGTTTTCCGGTCCACGTTTAAGAATAGATGTGAGATTCTTGTTAGTAGAGGTCAATGTTTGAACAGGTTCAAGGTTTAGCTCTGACTGTGGTTCAAGGTTGACTTCTGACCGAGGTTGAAGGTTGACCACTAACCGAGGTTTCTGGAATGCCAACCTATTCTCTATTGTTGGTTTTGGGTCCTCCTAAAAAAGAATTAATGTGACGCTATGAAAAACTATCAAACATACAAAGAGAATAGAATATATATTAGAGGGGAATTTAAAAATCCCTCTGTATGAATTTTGTCAGTCCCTTTCAGCCTGAAAGGTAGTTCAAAGTGTATAAATCATGTAAATGTTCACAAATTATATGCAGTAGAGTACATTAATACAGTATGTTCCCTAGATTATCCATTTCAATTTCGAATTTTTTAAAGCTGTTAAATACACTTTATAAAGAGAATTAGGTGAATAATAAACATCATTTGATTTATAATTATAACGGAAAATCATCGTTTGTAAAGTGGAAGGCATAGAGTCTATGTGAAATGATCATTGGTCAATTATGAAACCAGCCTATTTCATAATTTGGTTTTCTTTCAACAATAATTTTAGATTTTCTATAAAATGATATTCCAGGACCCAAAAAGTTATATAGCACAAATATGTAAAGTACACCTGCAGTATGGAAACAGTACAACAAAATGGCCGTTTTACACTTTTTTCTAGTAAATTCCATTCTAATATATATTCTATTCTCTTTGCAAACATAACTTTTAGAAAAACAAATTAGGAAAGGACAAAATTCTGGAAGAAAAAACTCCAGATTTTCCCTTTAAAAGGGACTGTTAGCGTACATTCAAGACCCAATTACATCAATTTTCAAAACTGGGTCAGCTTGAAAGTCTCGTGAGCCCCAGTAACTCAAGATAGACGTGTACATTTTCTGACAGCAAAGCGCATGTTTTTAGGAAATAATTAGCAAAATTTGCATATAATATTTTAACCTTTAAATCACTGTAGGTACGGGTTTACCTGAAGGGTAATGGAAGGAACAACTTTACTATGATGTTTACAGGTACAGGTACTACAGACAAAGAGAATTTCTGGACACTTCCCAGGGGAACTAGGCCGGGATGGAGTAGCTGGGGGAGCAGGGAGAGCAGGGGGAACTAAGGAAGCTGGGGGAGCTGAAGGAGCATTTCTTGCCGAACTTGAGTTTAAAAGTAAGTTAAAGAAATGAATTGAGTCTTTGCTTTTCAAATCCTTATATATTGCAACCCAAACTCATAGACCTTAAATATTGCAAAGCATGAATTCTGTTAGATCAAAGGGTCGAAGTTTGAAATATCAAAGGTCTACACCATTAGGATGCAAAGATATATGGATTAGAAAATTTGAGTATGTGGCAAAGACTCTATTCCTTTATTTAATTCTAAAAATACTAAAAATAATACTAAAACTATTGGAGCTAGTATTTGTAACGTTACTTTAAAATTAATAGATTTAATTAATCAAAACAAACAACTTTTTACAAAAAGATTGGAATTGGCAAAAAACGAGTTTGTACTTTTAAAAGCTTAATTACAGATTTACAACAGGGAAGTCATTTCATAGAAAGTCATTTCGTAAATAGGACATTTCATAGTGATGAAATTTCATACCTTCTATGAAATGTCCTGTTTATGAAATCTACTCTATCTATATGAAAACCATTTCTACGAATTTCTTTTTCTATGAAATTAATTTCTATAAAATGTATTTCTAGGAAATGTATTTCTATGAGACGTATTTCTATAAAATGTATTTCTATGAAATGTATTTTTACAAAATGTATTTTTATAAAATGTATTTCTATGAAATGTATTTCTATTAAATGCATTTTTTATATAGAAAATATTTCTATGAAATTGGTAATAATAATGCATACAAACCAGCTTGAAGGGCATGAATGTCAATTTTACTTTACCAAGCTTTGAAAGATTACGCCCAGCATGCATTGGATGTTGGTTTAGTTTTTAAACTGTACTATAATGGCTAAAAGTCTTGTTGCACATCCTAATTGGGCGAATATAATTTTCACAATCATTTATTTTTTTTACCTTTCTCTGATGGTATCTTGCCGTTGGGCTCGGACATAATCATATGTTGTCATATCATTTATGTTTATGTAGATATGGAAGATACATAGATGCATCAGTAGTCCTCAACATAATGATATATTTTAGATACATCAATAAACTTATTGATATATTATAGATTAGCTGAAGCGCCCGGCTTTCCCTTGCAATTTTAAAAACACTTCAAAAAATTTGAATTTTAAAGGGAGTTTTCGTGAAAAATGAAAGGGGGTATAGGCTTAATGCCATAAAAAAGCGCTTTTAAACGCTACTAATTTTACTTCTATCTGTTGCGTCTATAAGGAGAAAATTGTTAAAGACGTCATAACGAATAACTTAGCGCCCATACAAATTCAGAAAATTGCAACATACAACTGAGACTGTAAAAAATCAATTTAATTTCAAACAATTCATTCAGATATTACAACCTATAGTCATCGATTATCTTTCGCCACATTTGTATATAGTTTATATTTTATAATATTTTTTTTTTTTTAGAAAACGTTTTAACGGATTTCGAAAAATGTGAGTGGTGCGCGGCATTCTTTGATAGTTGCGCAAGCGACAAGAGATAATAATCAAATTCAAAACAAATTAATTAAAAAAATATTATAAAATATAAACTATATACAAAAGTGGCGAAAGATAATCGATGACTATAGGTTGTAATATCTGAATGATTTGTTTGAAATTAAATTGATTTTTTTACGGTCTAAGTCATAAGTTGCAATTTTCTGAATTTGTATGTGCGCTAAGTTATTCGGTATGAGACGTCTTTTACAATTTTCTCCTTATAGACGCAACAGATAAAAGTAAGATTAGTAGCGATCAAAAGCGCTTTTTTATCGCATTAAGCCTATACCCCCTTTCATTTTTCGCGAACAATCTCTTTAAGCAACAAAAAAAATCTAATTTGTTTACTTTATTTTAGGGTACCCTTGGATTTCGTAAAAAAAAGTATTTCAGATATATTGGTAAAGCCGTTTGGTCAGCTAGAGCTAAACATATATGTATATAAGAATAGAGCTTCATTATAGATATATCAGTACAGTTCTGTTAACATTTTCATAATTTTTAGATATATCAATATATGCATATAGTCATAAACAAATTGATTTAGTCTAAATGAATCGATTATTCAGTTCTATACATAGCTCTGAAGAAAATTCTTAAACCTTAAACATCATTTTAAAAGTAAACATATTCAAAATTAAAGTGATATTTTTTTAAAGATTTTTTTGAAACTTCAGGCTCACAAAAATGTTTTATGCTAATTTTATTTTCAAATTGCTATAACTCCTAAAGTAATAATCGCTGATCAATAATTTTAATTAAGAAAGAATAAACTTACAAACAAAATTTCGAAAATCTTTTTATTTTGTACGAATAAAAATGAGACGCGACAAATCGAAAATGTTTAAAATCCGGGAAATCGATTTACAACTTACACTCAATGAAATGGTTGTAACAAAAAAAAGTATGAGACCTAGAAGGAAAAAATGTACATCATGAAATATCTGAAATATAGAGCTTTCTAATGACGTCTGAATTATAAAAATTTAACAAAAATTGTTTCTTCTGTAACTGATAACCCTACTGTACAGTTATTATAACCCTGTATATACCTGCAGATACAGCTGCAATACAAACCATAAGAATGGTTGTAGTGATGAATACAAAGTCTGGAACAGGATTCAGAAAAAACAGAAACTGGTTTTCGTGACAGGGATACACACGGGGAAGGTACGGGTCAAGTTCAAACTAAAGAAAACATCTGAAATATGCATTTTTAGTGAATATTTCGCTTTTGTTTTATATAAATTGTAAACTTAGTTTGTGGTGCACCAATATATTGAAAATGTAGATATTCAATATGCTTAAAAATATAAAGTACGAACTATGAATAAGAAATGTGGAATGAAAAAGACTAAATTTGTTTTATTCCCCGTAATATATTAATACTAGGCTTTTATGGCGCTTCGCTCCCATCTTCTATTTCAATTGTGAACATGTTCTCATTGTATCATTGAAAAACAAAGGAAATAAATTTCGCGAATTTTCTAAAAAAATTTGCGGATTTTCAAAATTTTAAATTTTTTTAAAAACAGGAAAAACTTTTAAGCACAAATTTTTTAAATTTTATTATTCATACACCTTCCCTGGGGTCACATGATTAACAATCTCGATCGATTGATTTTTCGGAAATTTTCGAAAAATTAAATGAACAGATATTTTATGTGAAAAATTCAAATTACCGAATTATTTTCTATTATTGGCACAGCTGTAGATATACGCCAAGAAGGAACAGAGAAACTGCAAACACAAAAATTAATAATATATTATATAATATAATATATATAATAATATATTTTTGAGATTTAAATATGTAGACAGATTATAATTGTTTCATTTCTATTAAGAAAAAATGTATATATATATATATATGTCCTGAGCGGAAAACTTTAGAATGGTGGATATCGAGATTAATGCTTTTTTTGCTAATCTCTAGACTAATTTAGTCTTTAGATTAATTTCAAGAGATTAGAGACGCGTTCTTGAAGTTTTGAAAAAAACATGAAAAACAGGTTTTTAATTAATATTTTTTAAGACTAACGTTCAAAAGGACCATAGTCCTCAAATGGGATAAACTATGTAACTATGTTTTTTAATAAGTTCATATTAACATATTTAAATTTATATTTGTTTAAATGCTCTAAAAGCCGGCTTGTGAACAGCTGAATTTAGTTCAATCGTATATTAGTCCAATCGATATAGCATCATATCTGTAGTAGTAATCAAACTTATCTTTAGTACATGTTGAAGAAAATGTTATATCCAACAAGAGCGGATAAAATTTTTTTTATAAATTCCCACAGTGGATATTCAGATTAAGCGATTAAGCTGAAAACTTTAGAATAGGATATCCTTAATCCCGATCGGTTTATTAATCTGGAGATTAATAACAAGAGAATAACAAGCCTTATTTAATCTCAAGATTAAGAAAAAGAGTGGATCAAGCATTAATCCTGATATCCACCATTCAAAAGCTCCCAGCTCTGAATNCCCCGTTGGCTTCAATAGATTTTAAAAAGAGCATTGTGAGTTATAACGTCAAAATCGGAACAGTTTCATATGCAAAAGTGTAAAAATAAAAAACTTTAGTTTTAAAATAAAAAAGATTTACAATTTTTTTCAAAGATTAGTTTATTGTTTTTTCTTGATTTCTTAAAATTAGTTTTTGAAATAAAATGTTAAAATTTTTTTCCTTGCGAAACAATTGATCGTTTTCTCTCAAAATATTTTAAAAAATTTAGACAAAAATTGAGATCTTATTGGAAATTGTGTAACGTGGAATCAAAAGTGACGCTTAATAAAATACTAAATTTAAATATTTATCTATTTACAATATTTTGGGTTGGATTAAGACAATATCGATATCTTAGCATAGCACTTTAGAAATGCTAGGAAGCCGAGCGCTGCAGCCAGCATTTTTGTACAAATGTATTTATTTTATGCGTGATTTTCAAGGTTGTAAATTGTTTTTCATCCCTAAAAAGAAGAATTATTGTATTTGCTATTGTATGCCCTTTTTGTTGGACTTTATATATAATATAAAGAGTTTATATATAAGTATAAATATTATATACTTTATATATAAACATAAAGTCTTTTACACTATTTTCTACGGATTTTAAATAAAAGATTAAAATATGACTAAAAATGTTCCGATACAGACGTTGTAATCAGTTTGATGTGCCACCCCCCCCCCCCCCCCCCCCCCCCCCCCCCACTCTCCAATTAATTTGATATTGTGAATGCCAGATGACAAAGCCCGAAATTTAAAAGAGTATCGTTGGACAAAACTCCCGAGTTTCCGTTTTTGGGGTCTTAACATTTGTGAAGATTTTGATTTAAGAGATTCGAAAGAAATATTTACAAACTGAGTAAAATAATATTTCATAACAAAAATATTGATATTCCCATTCGTGAAACCCGGGTTTTAAAACTGGTTTTCAGAACAATACCCTGTCTTATGTTTTGGGCTCGGGGGTATCTTCTTTGACTGTACAATGTATGCACATATTTCTAATGCAGTCCATAAGAAAAGGTTTTGTAATGTCTTCTGTACTATGTATGCATGTTAAGCGAACTTTTTAATGATATTAAATTTTATTCAGTCACCTAGTTTCATTTTCTGCAAACTTGTCGTCAACCTGTTCTCCATCATCTCCTAGTTCTTCCTCTTCTCCTAGATCTCCTCCAGCATCCAATCCATCCTTCACTCCAGGCACAGGGAGAGGTGACGAGTTGAATGGAAAAGAGCAATCTGAATATTGTTAAATAAAAACTTTCTCTTCCATACTTGTAAAACTAGTGCAGAGGACAAATAGAAAATCTTAATTCTGTTTTTTTCTTTCTTTAATGTGTCTCAGTGAAGGTATTTAGTATTATTTATGGTATTATTACATTTATTATTTATTATTGTGGATTATCTTTGTTATGATCAATCTCAAGCCTTTTAAAATGGTACTTAAGTGATATTTTGTAAAATTTTGATATTTAAAAAAACTAATATTATTAAAATCATATATAATTTAACTCACTAATTAACTTTTACTATTTTGTACCCTTGTAAATGTACATTTAATTGTAAATCCTCTTTCAGCTATAGTTTTTCAGATTCAGTTGCTTAAAGGGACTGTAAACGTAATTTCAAGAGACCTTCCGTTTCACAACGATATCCTTTAAACCTTCGACTGATCAAGAATGGTCATTTGAAATTACGCTTTCAATCCCTTTAAGACCTTGCCATCTTTGGAGCACTGTGGAGTTAAGATTTTTAAAAAAACCTGGATAAAGTGTATAATTCTGCCATGGTGCAAGGAGATTAGTATCAGTGTAGTAAAGGCTCACCTCCCCTAATCCAAGAATTACAAAACCTAGAGAAAAATAAAATTAATTTGTTTTCCCTTTTTTGATGTTTGAGGTTTGCAACACTTTTGCTATTGTGTCATTTTAGCGTGAGTAATTCTTGATACATATACACATCTGGAAAACTTCTATTTCACTATTCCCAATTTTTTACATTAGTTAGGGTTATGAATGGGCATTCTAAAGACCGCAGTCTACAAGGGAGGCCAAGCGCTGCGGCTGGAGCAGGCTGAGGGAGCCGGGTGCTACGGATGGGAGGAACAAATAAAGTTTGAATTTAGAAAAAGGTTTTACAGCATAAGTGACATTTAGCAAGAATAACCCATAGAAAAAATGTGTTCAGCAAAAATGACTCTTGCAAAAGAATTGAATCTTTGCCACCAACTTTGTTTTTCTAATTCTTATATCTTTGCAACCAAATGTTGTAGACCTTAGATATTTCAAATTATGCAATAATCTATAGTTTGAAATATCAAAGGTTTACACCATCAAGTTGCAAAGATTTTGACTTTTGACAAAAACTCAATTCCATTATCGTAGCTTTGTTTATATACCTAGTGCTATTACGATAGAGCTTAAGACACAAATAAAGAATGCTATGTAGTTTCTCCTACCTAAACAGAGAACATTCAAATATTCGAAATACTCCAATCAACATAAAACACATCAATTGTGCAGTGTGAGTTTAGAAAAGTTACTGAAAAAATTGTTTTTATATTGATTGCTCTGTTCCTTTGGTACTCTTTGGTTGGCCTTAGTAAACAAGATTTGGGAAAAATATTTGAAAAAGCAAAAACAAATCTTTTACTGACACAAATTAAACGATATAAAAAAATATATATTCCTAGTATCCTACCTATACACTGGTTTAGCCACTTACAGTGATGATCAAACCCGTGTACACACTAAATAACAAAATATAGCTCGTTTTTTGCTTTTATTCTCTCAAAATGTTTTTTTCTTCATTTTTTGTTTAATAATTGAAATTTATGTATATTTGAACAATATTAAAATCATGAAACGTTTTCCTGATTTGTATTTGCAGTTCAAAGATTAGATAGAAAAGAAAGAGTTCTAAAGAGTGTACAGATGTATTTTAACAAATGTATGGGGATTCTCTTCCTCCCCCCCTTATACTCTGTCTTGTATTTTTGTTTCGTTCAAAATCAAAATCATAACGAATTATTTTGCGTAAGAAGATGTCGCTAAAAAAACAAAAGATGAACGAATGAAGACGAATGAAGGGTTAGAGAAAGAAAACTATCTTTTTCTCTGAACGAACAAAAAAACGAAAAATTTAAAATTGCACACGGTGGTTTGTATTTTGTTTCAGTCAGACCATGAACGAAATATTTCTCATATGCTCGTTCATGAACTTGATCGTTAATGACGGTTAAATTTTTTTTGTGAATTTAGAAAAATTACAAAAAAAACTTTTCGAAAAATCCCCAAGGAAAACATCTCCAACAACTCTTTCCATTAAATAGGGAAAAGATTCGAAATAATTGAACGTAAATAATATTAAAAAACATAAGTAATACTTTTTATCCGTAAATATACTTTCTTCTTCAAATTGTTAAATAATTTTAAATGGTTTTTTTACCTTATTGCAGACTGAGCAATGTTTAGTTTTGTTACTGGTGATGAAAATACTACAGAGGTTACATCTTCCATTCTCTATCACATGAGAGTGCTGAAACATTTAAAGGGATAGGTCATGAAATCATGTGTTAATACTAGATCGTTGATATGCTGTTCACTGCAGGTCAAGACGTGCACGCTCTTTCACTCAAAATTCGAGCCGAATTTTGCCAAAAGATGTGCACTCTCACACAAAACTCGATCAGAATTTTGCCAATTACTCCTTTTAAACTTAAGCTAGAAACAGTGCGTTTAATCTTTAAAATGTATTTGCCCTTGGCTATTAAAAGTAGGAGTATAGGAGTAAGTTGAGGTAAAACCATTTGCCAAGGCGTTGCGACACTTTAAAATCGAGCCTGTCAAAATTTTGATGAATGATTTTCAGAGATGTCGATTTCTTAGTCTGTTTTAATATCTTTTTTTTGAACACCATTAGAACAAAAATTATGCGCCTGACGTGCAATTATGTTATTTTTGATTATTTCCAATTTAAAACATCGTTTTTACTATTAGTTATTGATATTACAGCTTTTGAAATGTTTTAAAACATTTTTTTTTCTCCTTTTCAAATTACTCTTAAGTAATCTGTACTCGCTAGGCAAGTGAGTGAACCCTGATTGGATCAGAGGATACTGAATGTTAAAAACTACTGTGATCATCAAATCTTAGAAAACAAAGATTTTACAGGAAATGGCTTTAAATATTGTGTTAGATCATTTGAAATTAATGTCCTTTTATATTGTACAGTTCTTCTCTACAGAGCTGAGATATGAAACCTTCATTTTCAAATTTGAGTAGTAAAATATTTCTAAATATTTGTTTGAAGTGAAGGATTTATAATATTTGGCTCCAAACCAACTTCATCAAATTATATGGAAAAGGTTAGAGCTAAAGCTTTTACACAAATTTTTATATTTGAACAGAAAAGAATCAAGGAAAACAGAAAAAAATTCATCGAAAAATTTAGATTTAAGTGGAACAAAAAATGTTTCATAAAAATAGAATATTTAAGGGAAAAGACAACAAAAAATGCGATTAAAAAAAATCAAGTGAACCAGAATTAAGATAAACATGAAGTGTTCAGGAGAAAACAGAAAATTTAAGGGAAACAGAATTAAGATAAACATGAGGAGTGCAGGAGAAAACAGAAAATTTAAGGGAAACAGAATTAAGATAAACATGAAGTGTTCAGGAGAAAACAGAAAATTCAATGAAAACAGAATTAAGATAAACATGAAGAGTTCAAGAGAAAACAGAAAATTTAAGGGAAACAGAATTAAGATAAACATGAAGTGTTCAGGATAAAACAGAAAATTCAAGGGAAACAGAATTAAGATAAACATGAAGGGTTCAGGATAAAACAGAAAATTCAAAGGAAACATAATAAAAGTTAATGATAAACAATGTTTAATATCATCATTTACAATAAAATTATGCAACAAAAATAGTATCTTTTGTTATACTTGTTGAGTATGCGTTTAGATGCAATGCAACGCAACGCTCAAATCTTCTATTTTAACATTTAGTTGTGGGTCTATCTGTGAGCATTTTCCAAGGGGGCTGGATCTTAGCTACCTTTCCGTGTGTATTAGCCTGAGTGTATAATTAGGATAGTTTACTGATAAATATTATTAAGAGATTATGGTCTATTCATACAGTACAAAGATCAAATATGCAGTACGCTTTCGGAGTACAGGTGTATGGGGAGGTTTTGCATCTTGAATTTTACTCAGTTTTATTAACGAAGCAATATTGGTCTGTAAAAGACTGTAATAGTGCGTCTTCCTGTGAAAATGTAATCCTGCACACGATAAATGAGTAGTGGATTTTGATAGTTACATTGACAGCAAATTATCCATTTAAATATTTGCAGATTTCACCCCCGAGTACTTTAATGTACAGATTGATCTTTGGAAGTGAAGTACATAGCCTGTACAATTAGTAAAGGATTAGTATACATCATCACTCTATATACTATAACCTTGTTGGCACTTCTCTTCGTATTACAATATGTGCCTCCCAGTGCCAATGACTCGAAAGGAAGTCATGGTTTTTTAAAGATATTTATTTTTACTTCAACTAAATTCTTGCCTTTCTCCTGTCCAGCTCTGGAACCGGTTTCTTGCTGTACAGTGCCAGTAGGTTTGGATCTGTTTACAAAACAATAAATAAACAAATATATAAAAAGACAATTTCGAAGATTTTTTTAACTAAAATAAAGATATTGAATTATATATATTTTTTAAGGCTTTAGATATAGTTAATTTTAATCATTGTTTAACTAAGCTAACTTTTCTCGAATATTGGAGTAACCGCACAAAAGTTCTTTGAAAAAAAGTTTTCGGAAATAAAGTCCTAAATTTTGGCACTAAAAAAGTCCTCTGGAAATAAAGTCCTACCATTTTGAGACCTTATTTTCTAGACTTTTTTTCTGGTTCCATTATGATTTTATACAAAAAGGTCTTCGGGAAAAAAGCTCTTTTAAAATGGAAAATGCACGGAAAGAAAGGGGGCTTGATAAAAAAACACCCGTGGCCGTATATTGAATATGCAGATGCATAGAAGAAAGGTCAAGTTGTATGAACAAAAGAAAAAAGTCCCAGTAATCTATAACTCAGGACATTATTTCCAGGAACTTTTTTTACTAACGTTTTTATTTCTAGGTTTTTTTTCAGAAACTTTTTGATGTGATTTTCTTCAATAAATTTGAATAAAGAGGGAGGGGGGGAGGAATTTTGATTTCTGATTTAGAAAAATAAGACATTTCTTAATTTTCTCTTTGTTCATTAGTTTTACAAGTGAAATTTAAATTTTAATTAGGACAGACCCTATGCGTCAACACGATGGATCAATTACGGAAAATTAGCCGTAAACTCAAATAAATTAAATTATTCTTGTTTGTTTACATTTCCAGTAACTTGCGCTTTGCCGCGTGCATAACTAGAGTCCGCTGCAGGTAAGAGTTCTCTGCAGGCATGACATGCAATGTACATTAAACCGACTTCAATTTTTTTAACATTTCAACAAGTGATTGAGACCAAATTGGCTTGATACACGAACACCTGATTACATGAATACCTAAGTTCACAAACACACTCAAATATTTTACGCTTAGCAGTTATTCTTCCTTCTTCTTTTTCTTAAGTTCAAGTACAGTTTCCCTTCCTCCTTTTATTTCCCCATTTCTCTTCTTCTTTTTCTTCCTTTCATGAAGTTTTCTTTCTCTTTCCCCCCCATTCCCAAAATTTTATATTTATTTTTCCTTAAACTTCTATTCTCTCCGCCTTTTCCCTTGTTCTCCTTTCATTCTTTCTCATATATCTTTTTGTGATTTTCCCTTTTTCCTTTTCCTTCTCCTTTCGTCCATTATGTATTTTCTTTTTGTTTGTTCTCCGTTTTCTCTCAAAGAGATCAAATCTTAGACGGAAATGATCAAAACAATGCAGTACGAAAATTTAAGGATTTCTAGCTATGGTTCATCCTAACTGCTAAGCATACAATATTTCAGTGCGTTAGTGAACTAAGGTATTCAGGTAATTAGGTATTCGGGTATCATATGCCATCAAATTAAAGAAACTTTCATAAACAAATGATATGATCATTTTGTTCAGATTATGTTTTTATTGTTTTCCTGAGGGATCTAGAAGGATAGACACAAGATGGCTGATGTAGTGTACACTGAAGATAAATATACTCAGAATAGTCAGGGGCAACTGCACTCTGAAACAAGATGGCTGACTTAGTGTACACAGAAGATGAAAATGTTCAGAATAGTCAGCGACAACTGCACTCTGAAACATAAACGACTAACACAGCTGTACTTTACATTAAAGTTAGATTTGAAATTTTAAAATCCACAAATTTGTTTAAACAACATAAACACAAACATTGTTAAAAATTAATATCTGTTCATAAGGTACTTGTGCTGCTTTAAGGATTAATACATTTGTTACGCGAGCTACGCTGCGTTCATAAAGTCTATGTGACACCCCTGTGATTCTCTGAGTTCCCCCTGAGGGTCTGTACAGAACGTATTGTGAAGAACTAGTTTGAGAAGCTGTTTACCGTCCGACTACGCATGCGCAAGTTCCCTGCGTAGGAGAGAGCAGTTTCTACTTCAGTATACAGTTGTATTTCATGTAATGTTCGTCTATTATTAAACCGTGTGAATATTCTAGGACCACTGCGGTAATTATGATTATATTTATACGAATATTGTTTATTTATGTTCGGTTATGGTTGATATTGTATAATGTAATGTATGGGTTCCTTGCCACAGTTTTTTAATGCCTGAGTGGATTTATTGCTGTATTTGTATGATTTATCACTCAATGCTTTTTCTGTTGGCTTATAAAAGATTATTTAGATTGAAGGCTTAGAGAAATAAACGTTCGGAACCTTATTATCATCCTTGTGTTATGGAGAGCGTTGAGAGAAGGAAGCCTTACAATCCTATCCAGAGAAATACCACTCGGTACTTATAGATTTCATTAGGTCTTTAGGGAATTCGCTAAGTAGCGAAACAACATTTAAGAAAAAGATCTGCAGTGGTGTTGACAGTTTTGCATCCTATGTGAGTAGCGGGCATATTATTGTGTTTTTTACTTACCTAGTGTGCACAGCGGGAAGGAGAGTTAGAAATGTGTACAGAGTAAAGGTCTGAAAACATATTTATCTAGATATATACTTTGTTTGTCTGCCTGTCTGTTTGCTGTATCTGTTTGTATCCAATAAATGTCAAGACAACTAAACCGATCGAACCCAAATTTTGTAATAGAATTAAAATGACCCCAGAGCCCGCGATTTAAAAATTTCGGTTCTAGTCGTAATTCCTTAAACCCGACTTTAAGGCACAATCTTGACCCAACTCTGATGACAGCTTGTGTCACGTGATTGACAGCTGCAATATCTTTGGCTCGACTTAAGGAGTTAGGCCCATTGAAAATAAAACCAACCTTGGTTGGTTTTAGTAGAGAATAAGGCTCAATGTTGAGAATTGTTCTCATAAAAACCCGGAATGCACCAATTACTACCCTAAAAATTCGCCAAATAGAATATCAAACCGGTTTTTTAACCTCAACTCTGTGAAAATAAGATGCAGCTTGAATCCGAAAGCTCAAGTCGTAAATAAGGCCAACAACAGCTTAGACCCGAGCCGTATTTTCACGAATTTTTTGAATCGCGGGCTCAGGAAAGGTTTATAAATACTCAGAAATACAAAACATTGTCTCCAAATATTTTTAAAATCCACAAAAAAAACAGTGTAAAATCTGCAACATTTCTTATTTTGTTTTTTAAAAGAGAAAAGATTGAGCAACTATTAAAAGTTAAAATAAAAGATAGACTATTGTTATATACTTTCCAGTAAGAATATCCAGCATAGAACCTGCAGGGGTGTATTGTATGCTTACCAGTAAGAATACCCAGCATAGAACCTGCTGGGGGTGTATTGTATGCTTACCAGTAAGAATACCCAGCATAGAGCCTACTGAGAGTGTATTGTATGCTTACCAGTAAGAATATCCAACATAGAACCTGCTAGGGTGTATTGTATGCTTACCAGTAAGAATATTCAGCATAGAACCTGCTGAGGGTGTATTGTATGCTTACCAGTGAGAATATTCAGCATAGAACCTGCTAGGGTGTATTGTATGCTTACCAGTAAGAATACCCAGCATAGAACCGGCTGAGGGTGTATTGTATGCTTATCAGTAAGAACATTTAGCATAGAACCTGCTGAGGGTGTATTGTATGCTTACCAGTGAGAATATTCAGCATAGAACCTGCTAGGGTGTATTGTATGCTTACCAGTAAGAATATCCAGCATAGAACCTGCTGGGGGTGTAGAGGAAATTGTAATCCATGTTTTCGACGCCATTTTCTTCAAATAAAATTAAAATTGTTATAAAAAATATTCCGTAAACTAATTGAAATGAGATGATGGTGTAAAATATTTAACAATTCTTGTGAGTCAATTCGTAAGTTTTCTGATAAAATTCGATAAACAAATAAATAATTTTTTATGTTTTTATTAATTTTGTTTGTTTGTCAAATATATCAAAGTACATCAAATTAAATAACTGGATTTAAGAAACCCCACTCTTATAAGGAGTGACTGGCAAGTTGTACTTAGAGTGCAGCATTGAGAAAATAGTGTCCAATTTAGAAACAGGCTGAGATAATAATGTCAAGTTTAGAAACAGGTTGAGAAAATAATGTCAAGTTTAAAAACAGGCTGAGATAATAATGTCAAGTTTAGAAACAGGTTGAGATAATAATGTCAAGTTTAGAAACAGGTTGAGAAAATAATGTCAAGTTTAAAAACAGGCTGAGATAATAATGTCAAGTTTAAAAACAGGTTGGGATAATAATGTCAAGTTTAAAAATAGGCTGGGATAATAATGTCAAGTTTAAAAACAGGCTGAGATAATAATGTCAAGTTTAGAAACAGGCTGAGATAATAATGTCAAGTTTAGAAACAGGTTGAGAAAATAATGTCAAGTTTAAAAACAGGTTAAGATAATAATGTCAAGTTTAGAAACAGGTTGAGATAATAATGTCAAGTTTAGAAACAGGCTGAGATAATAATGTCAAGTTTAGAAACAGGTTGAGATAATAATGTCAAGTTTAGAAACAGGTTGAGAAAATAATGTCAGGTTTAAAAACAGGCTGAGAAAATAATGTCAGGTTTAAAAAAAGGCTGAGATAATAATGTCAAGTTTAGAAACAGGTTGAGAATAAAAAGTCAAGTTTAGACAAAGGTTGAGAAAATAATGTCAAGCTTAGAAAAAAGTTTTTAAAAATAATGTCAAGTTTAGAAAAAAGTTTAGAAATTAATGTCAAATTTAGAGACAGGTTGTGAAAATCAAAATTAACTCTTTTATTAATTCGTCTATTTCTGTAATATTTGATTCTTTTCCAAACGTTTCCCATAGATTTTGTTGAATTTCATGCAAAGACGACATTTATACTTGAAGAAATCTGGGAATACAACTAAAAAAAAAGATGATAAAGAAATAATTGATTATACCATTGATTTTTTTAAGAAATATATGTTTTTAAACAAAAATTAGTTCATAGAAGAATTTTTGTTTACATCTTTCGTCCGGTCCGAATTATCCATCCCCATGATCGTTAAGAAAGGAGTTTTCAGCAATTATAAAACGTACACTGCACGCGTTTTAATGGTATCACTGAATCCAAAATTTTTATTTTATACCACTTCAATCTCAGTTCAACTACAGGGTGTCCCAATAAACATGGAAATCGAGAGAAAACTTGAATATCGTCTTTTATTTCCGATAATTGATAAATGACATTATGTTACAAGAACTATTTGGAGAGGCCTCACAGCGTAGCAACAATAAACAAGAAGCAAGGAGAAAAAATAAAATTGAACAGGAAAAATTGGAAGGGAAATCTCTGATGACAAGCTCTACACTATCATATATAATCATTAAACGGTTAGCATATTGAGACAAACATTAGAGATGGGGGATTGGAAGACGTCCCGCCCCCCAATTTTTTTACTTGAAAGAATTTGCATCAGAAATATGTGCTTGTTTAGAGCTGAATCAACAAGTTGAATTCAGTAGCTGACACATCTAATTTTTTTCAAAACTAGCAAAATATGATTGAAAGATGTACAAACAAGGAGAAAATGAAGAACAAGAAATATAGAAAAGTCAAAATATTTACATCTGCTATCATATAACTATTAAAGAATATTGCAAAAAAATGTAAAATTTAAGAATAAATATGTAAAAAACATAAATCACATTAATTGCATCAAAAACAGTTTGAAAGTCTAATGAGCTTTCCAAAATGTGGTCTACCTTCTTTGTATCTTTAAAATCGACGGAGATATTAAACATTTGAACAGTTTTGTTGGTTTTTAATAAACTGGAATCTGGACACATTTCCTAATATCTCCGTCAATTTTTAAAATGACAAAATGGTAGACCACATTTTGGAAAATCCGAAACTAATATTATTCGGTGTTAAATGTTTTGACTGTGTTTACTAAAAAAATATATTTAGAAAGACAATATAGAACTCCTAATTTAATTCCCATGTTTATTGGGACACCCCGTACCATACCTGGAAAGTTTATTCTCCGTAAATATAATTGAAAATAGTGTCCATTTCAAATCCTTTCTTTTGGGGTTTTGTTGATTTAATCTCACTTTTCAAAAAAAAAAAATTCCCACAAACCATAATTTCCCAATATCTTTGCAAAATTGTCGACCTATTTCAAGCCATGAGTTATTGTAGATAAATAGTAAAAGTTTGAACTATCAAAGCAGACTAGTCTGTCATCAGAGAAGAATGATAATGAGAACTGTTCGATTGGAGAGCTCTCATACGGAATTGTATAAATTCTAAAAGGATGAATTTATATAATTCTCACAGTACACCACCAAACTACAAACATATCGGGATTAGAAAAGTACATTTTAGGCTGCTTTATGTACGTTCATGCAATTAAAAAGGAAACAAAAAAGTGGAGAAAATATTTACCTAAATCCTTTTTTTGATTTATCTGTTGTGTTTTCATTTGATGGAGGTGGGCGATCCATATCATTCGATATATTTAGAATATTACTCCAACATTCTCTTCTGCAGCATGGAAATATCTTTAAAATATATATGTATACAGTACACATCTTTATTCGATATATTTAGAATATTACTCCAACATCCTGTTCTGCAGTGGAAATATCTTTAAAATATATATGTATACAGTACACATCTTTATTCGATATATTTAGAATATTACTCCAACATCCTGTTCTGCAGTGGAAATATCTTTAAAATATATATGTATACNACGATCGAAATCAAGTAGCCTGGGGGTGATAAAGGCTAAAAAAAAAAAAAATTCAATTTTTTGTTCAATTCCACGGGCAACCTCGGGCTCTTCAGCTAGTATATATTATATATATTTTACAGTTTTTAATTATTTATGTTTTTTTGGGGCCAGATTTAATAAATAGTGCAGGAACAAGTTAAAGAAAAGTGGTTTATCTTAGTCTATGGGGTTCAACTACTTCTTGATATCTGTTGAGTCTGTTTCTTGTTTTAACGATATGTGTTTGGTTTTGTTATGGTTTGTTTTAATTTATAGTCAAAAGGGCTGAAAAAAATGGGAAAAATGTTTTCGAAAATATTCGCTCTTTTTTAAAGTAAAGAAATTTACAAAAAACAACTTAAATTCAATATTCCTGACACTGAGAGAAATTATTTGAAGTCTCAAAATTTCTTAATTTCCAAAATACAAAAATCCAGTTGTGAAACTTCAAAACTTTTAAAATTCGAAACGTCGAGATAAATTTTCAAATAGTTTATTTTCTTCCAATTATGAATTCTGAACAGAAGAATGTGTACACTGCAACCTTTTAAACCATACTATTTACTTTCCGCAGGTAGACAGTGGCTTGGGGATTCATGGGGGGGGGGGGAACCAGAGAAGGGGATATATAGCCAGGGGAGGGGGGGAGGGGTATACAGGGATTTATCAATAATTCAAAGAGCACTTGTGGGAATAATCAATTGTTGAGAGAATATGTTTCTTTTTCACTTTTTTACTGACAATTATTTAAGAGTATTTAAAAAAACTAAATATATAATAATATTTTCTATTGTAAATATAACATAATACATCAATTACAAGAATGATAACAACAAAAATTACGCGTAAAAATTCGAAGAATTAAAATCGTAAAAACAGAAAAATAAACGTTTTGCAATATAACAAAACAATTACAAATTTTTCTATCATAAAATCAAATATATATAATGGGTTAACCACAATAAAAATCATTTAAAGGGACTGTACAGTGAACTTGACCCGATTCATAAAGTTATATTTTAAACCTTGGACTGATCATAGAGAACACAGTATATATGCATATATCTTAAACCTTGGACTGATCATAGAGGGTAGAGCACACAGTATATATGCATATATCTTAAACCTTGGACTGATCATAGAGGGTAGAGCACACAGTATATATGCATATATCTTAAACCTTGGACTGATCATAGAGGGTAGAGAACTTAGTATATATGCATATATCTTAAACCTTGGACTGATCATAGAGGGTAAAGAACACAGTATATATGTATATATCTTAAACGCTCTGTAAAAAGCTGTAGAATTGGAGTGTACGCTAGCGCACTGTGTGTCGTCACATTTTTTCCTGGAAACTCTAGAATATGTCCGATGCGGTTTTCAAAAATACAAATGTGAATGTTTTTGTTAATATTCTGCCACTTTTAGAAAGCAAATATTAATGTTCTTTATATATAAAACAGGTTGCAAACAGTGTTCTCCAATTAACAGCGTTTCTGTGGATCAATAAGGAAAAGTCGGTCATCCTTGATCAGTCAAACAGTGGCGCAACTAGCATTTTTGGGNGGTGGCTAGCCCCCTGCAGGGAAGAACCATGAATGATTAAAGAAGATTAAATAAGTTTTAACCTTTGTGGGTAACACTATGATAGCTAATAATTTCAAAATATTTTAAGGTCACCGAAAATTAAAAATTTTAGTTTTATAAAATTTGTTTTTATGTTTAAATTTTATTTCTTTTTTAGTCCAGTATGCACTATGCATGAGTGTTGGAGAAAGCCCAGTTTTGGCGTACACCCAGATAAAAAAATGTAATTTCAAGTTCAGTTCTTAGTTCAACAAACTTGGCAGGACGTTCTTTCAATTCATATTTGTTTACAATTGTACAATTGTACAACTGTACTACTATTGTACAATTGTACAACTGTACTACTATTGTACTATTGTACAACTGTACTACTATTGTACAATTGTACAATAGTACTACTATTGTACAATTGTACAATTGTACTACTATTGTACTATTGTACAATTGTACTACTATTGTACAATTGTACAACTGTACTACTATTGTACAATTGTACAATAGTACTACTATTGTACAATTGTACAACTGTACTACTATTGTACAATTGTACAATAGTACTACTATTGTACAATTGTACAATTGTACTACTATTGTACAATTGTACAACTATAATGTGTACGGTATACAACATATGCATTTTTATGTACTTTGTACGGAGTAACGTTTTTTCCCGTGCATTAATGCTAACTACAGGGTGTCCCAAAAAAACATCGGAATTCAGTGACGAATTCGATATCGTCTTTGTTATGAATTAGTAATATCATTATGTCTGCTAGAGTTTATTTTATGAAAAGGGTAAAAGACTGTAAAGATGTGTCTATAATGTCTCCGCAAAATGAACAGTGAAGACGGACAAGTTTACCCTGTTTGTATACTGCAATTTTCTTGTTTTACTAAGTATAACTGTATGGGTCGCGGGACGGTAACCGCCAAAAAAGTCCTTGAAAAAAAGTTTCCGGAAAAAAGTCCTAAAATTTCACACTAAAAAAGTCCTGTGGAAAAAAGTCCTGTATTAAAAAGTCTCCGGAAATAAAGTCCTACCAATTCGAGACTTTATTTTCTAGGACTTTTTTTCTAGGACTTTTTTTCTGGCTCCAGTATGATTTTATACAAAAAAGTCCTCGGAAAAAAGTCCTTTAACAAGTGAAAATGCATGGAAAAAACAAAACACAAACAAACATAAACGAACAAAATGTGAACATAGCAGACAATACTCTGACAGATTGCAACTTTCTCAGTAGGTATCGCTATCAAAGAATTATTTTAAAAGACGATATCGAATTCGTCACTGAATTCCCATGTTTATTGGGACACCCTGTATGAAGTAAAATTATTTTTTATTGTACACTGAAAGGGACTGGAGAGTGGAGACAACATTGTAAGGAACCCTCCCTAAGAAGAGTATACCTGGTTTGGTGGGGGTCTTAAAGGAATATTTATCAATTCGCTTCAAACGTCCGTCGCCGGAAATCAAATAAATATTGATTAATTATTATTTTGATAATGGTTCATCCAAATATATATTTATAAACCCTTCTCACTTATCCTTCACATTCCCTTTCAATGTTTTTTTTGATGATTTGTTTAATTTAGAAGAAAAATGAACACGGACGAGGATAATCCAGGAAATCTAGAAGTTTCAAAAGTTTTAAACTCTGTAGATGAAGCTGAAACTTTAAACTCTGTAGATGAAGCTGACTCTTAAAACTCTGTAGATGAAGCTGACTCTTTAAACTCTGTAGATGAAGCTGACTCTTTAAACTCTGTATATGAAGCTGACTCTTAAAACTCTGTAGATGAAGCTGACTCTTTAAACTCTGTAGATGAAGCTGACTCTTAAAACTCTGTAGATGAAGCTGACTCTTAAAACTCTGTAGATGAAGCTGACTCTTTAAACTCTGTAGATGAAGCTGACTCTTAAAACTCTGTAGATGAAGCTGACTCTTTAAACTCTGTAGATAAAACTGAAACTTTAAACTCTGTAGCTGAAGCTGACTCTTTAAACTTTGTAGATAAAACTTAAACTTAAAACACTGTAGATAAAATTAAAACACTGAAACCTCTGTAGATAAAAATAAAACACTTTAACCTCTGTAGATGAAGCCTTTACTTTAAACTCTGTAGATAAAGCTGAAACATTAAACTCTGTAGATAAAGCTGAAGTTGTTGATTTGTAGATGAAGCTGAAACTTTAAACTCTGTAGAAGAAGCTGACTCTTTAAACTCTGTAGATAAGACTGAAACTTTAAACTCTTAAGACGAATCTGAAACTTTAAACTCTGTATAAGAAGCTAAACCTTTAAACTCCTTAGACGAATCTGAAACTTTAAACTCTGTAGAAAAAGCTGAAACTGGTAACACCAGCGACACAAATATTGACGATGAAAAAGAGTCTGAAAAAGAATCTGAAAAGGAAATTTCAACAAAAAGTTTGAAAACCAAGTTTTCCCTTTTTGAAGACAATTCGTATGAAAGTATTCGAGCTTCAAGGTATCTTTGTCAAATAGTTTTAAAAACATGAACACTCATACAATGATTAATAATTTGTCAGGCCTAGGTCAAAGTCACCTGCAATGAACCTGGATGCAACGTCAATGTTAAGATCGAGATCTTCGACGAAGAGTCCTGTACTTCATGTAAGGTCAAAATCAAAGAGTTTGCCAAGATCAAGATCATCCAGTGTTTCAAGATCAATGTCAAACACAAGAATTCGCTCTAGATCATCATCCGAAGATCAGGAGTACAAATCCAAGTCCAGATCGGTTTCTCTGAAATCAAGATCAAGATCACTATCCAGAAACTCTTCAAGATCTGTTTCAATGGATTCAGAAAATCAAAAGTCAAGAAATGAATCAAAATCAAAGTCCAGCTCAAGATCAAGATCAAGGTCCGAATCCAAAGTTGCATCAAAATCAAAATCAAGATCAAGATCAAGGACACGATCGAAATCAAGATCAATGACAAGATCGAAATCAAGATCAATGACAAGATCGAAATCAAGATCAATGACACGATCAAAATCAAGATCAAAATCAAGATCAATGACAAGATCAACGTCAAGATCAAAGTCGAGATCAAGATCTAGCTCAACTGAAATCTCGAGGGTGAAAAAAGGTGATAAAAGAGAGACCAAGAAGCGAATATTAGGTATATATTCATATATTTGACAAAACGAATGTTTAGCCATGAGAACGATTTAAATCAAAATTTTTCTTTAAATCCTTTCTACATCAATTACTAAATGTGTATTACAAAAGTAAAATGAGCTTTCCAAAAAAGGGAAATTGACAAAAAACAGTCTTTAAAATATTTGTGCATTAAAAAAAGCAAGTCACAATTGAAAATCCCAAAAATGCCAATGAATTAAAAAACGATTTAAAATCCCCAGGTTATTCAATATTCTAATTCTCGAGTAAATGCTTTGTTTAAAATTATATTTTCTAAAGGTTTCTTGAATCTAGTTTATTTTTCTTCAAAAACATTTTAGTATCTTTGTTTCAGAATCTGAAGATGAGAGTGTTGATAACTTCAGGTTAAACTTTCTAATTCGTTTATTTTCTTTTTTAAAAATACAAAAATTAATTGTTTTAACAAAGTGAGGATGAAGAGACAAAGAATAAAAAGGCGAAAGATATAAAAAAGGTGAGAGAAATTTAAAAATGCCATCATCGATTTACAACAGCATATTCACATTATCGACTTTCTTGCTCCACTATGCTGTAGATCAGTTCACAATGAGATTTCTATATATTTGCCTTATTTTACTTTTATTCTCCCGCCATTTTGATTCAATCTTTGATTCAGGGGGAGAAGGACAAGGACTCAGAAGACGACATTCGGTAACTTTTATACATTTAGATACATTTGCTAGATTATGGAGCCCTTGTAACTTGAATTTACAGATTTTAGACAGGGTTGCCCACAAAGGACGAGACTGCAAAGACGACCGGAAACTCTTGAAATATGACGATATCAAGTTTAAATTAAGTCTTGTATTAATTTTAGTATTTTAATGGCTTATTTAATGATTTGGCAAAGATAACTGAGGACTGAATTTTCCTTCCTGTTTTAAGAATATTTTAAGAATAAACTATCCTCTAAGAAGGTTTAACAGAAACTGCCGCTTTTTAAATCGGAAATACTTCTGGGGATGTTTGGTTTTGAGTCGCGGAAATACAGTGTGCGCAATGAGTGATTTTGCAGCGAAATAAGATAAATGTTATGTCCCATCTGAACATAAATTGGATTAAGATACAAAGTAAAACATAATTTGAACCATATCTATGGCAGTTTTAATCAGTTATGGTTAATTATCTTTGAGTCTTGATATCCTTGTAAAGCGAGAAAAAATAGTCCATTTTTCGTGCTCCTCTTCCTTCTCCCCCCCCCGTCCCCCCCTCCCCCCTGCATTCTCCTTTCTTAACCAAGTCCTTCATTCCTCTTTCTCTCTTATAATCAATTTATTTGTGATGTGTCAATGTCTGAGTCATAAAATGGGGAGAATTTGGGGAAATTCAAAAAAAGTTAAACATCGATAAATTTTACTTTAAATGATTTTATTCAGTACTTCATTCGATCTTTTTTTATTAAACCCTATATAGGGAAATTATGCAAATCAGAAAAATTCTAGTAAAAACGTGAAATTAATAAACAGAAATTGTTTTCTATACAAGACTCATCTACAACCTTTTTATCACATAAAATAGAGGTTTCCATATTTGCGAAATTGCGGCGTATATATAAATACAATATTAAAATGCTTATTGATTCCATATTTCTTTAAATTGGCTACGAATAGTTTTTAAAAAGTACATATACATCTACTTCAAGAAATTGCGCCAAGCTCTTTGCCAAAGTTGTAATAAAAATCGTCAATACTGTATTGACATATACGCCTATCAATAAAGGAACAAAAATATAAATTTGTCTAGTGATGTTGATAGAGAGGATGAAGCTCATCAAGGGAATGATTTTGATCTGATGATGCAGAAAAAGAAAGCTGAAAACAATCACCGAAGGTATAAATTTGTATCTGAAAAAACCTAGGGTCAAAACATTTTTGTGATTTATATACGCATGTTTAAAGTTCAGGATATTCTGCTTAAACCTTCAATTTGTCGTGTTGTTGAGACCACGAAATAACAAAAAGTTCAAGACAAAATGTTTTTACCTTTGGAAAAAGTTATTAAGAAAAAAAACGGATTAAAGTGTATTATGAAGAACCAAGAAAGTTTATTGTAAAAATGTATTGTGAAGAACCAAGAAAGTTTATTGTAAAAATGTATTATGAAGAACCTAGAAAGTTTATTGTAAAAGATTATGAAGAACCTAGAAAGTTTATTGTAAAAGAGTATTATGAAGAACCTAGAAAGTTTATTGTAAAAGAGTATTATGAAGAACCTAGAAAGTTTATTGTAAAAGAGTATTATGAAGAACCTAGAAAGTTTATTGTAAAAGTTAAAAAAGTGTATTGTTATCTCTAATATAAATATTTTTATACGGTTTGAATAAATTCATACTTTTTAAGGGACTGTCAGCATAATTTTATTTAATCTGATAATTCCTATATGTTTGTCTTGCAGTGGAAATGCGCAAGTCACTTTTGTAGAGAAACCATAATAAAAAATAATCCGTTTTGCAAATTATAAACACTGATATCTAATGCATAAAGACAAAGCTTTGTACCGTTGCCATCCTTGCATATATAATCACTCGAAATTACGCTTACAGTCCCTGTGAGTAAACTTTTGAATAATCTTTTAGTTTCTGTTATTTAGGAAAAAGAAAGATATTGATGTAATCAACGACAACGATGATGCTATTGCAAAAATGATAGCAGACATGAGGAACAGTTTATTTATCAATTTTTACATTTCATATCTTTTACATTAAATTCAGAATAGTGCATTTTTTCAACCCCTCCCTCTCCCCTGTCAGGAACGATATGCAAGCTTTTTCGTCTACAAATAATTGGTAAAATTGCGGGAAGAGGAGCTGGGGCATTTTCTCTTTTCAAAATATACAGGGTTACTCACAATGGATGGGACTTCAGAGACGACTGCACGAAAATTTATAATTTCTGTTTCCTAGTATTAACGATTCTCTTTACAGCTTTCTTTCTTTGTAAAATCATTAAATATATGTCTTTCTAAGCCTCAGTTTAAGGCAAAATTTGATTGAACAATGAGATTGTCACATTTTTAGAGTTTCAGGTCGTCCTTACAGTCTCATCCTTTGTGGGTAACCCTGTACGATTTATTTCATTTAATCATTTTGATCTGAATTGTGTCCAGGATTGCAGCGAAGGAGGATCGAGATTTAAACATTATCGGGAAACCAGCAACTAAGAAGATGGGGATGTTTAAGGTCAAAGCTGAAAACTTTTACCAAAGAGAAAAGAATATATATTAGAGGGGAATTTACTTGAAAAAAATGTAAAACGGCCATTTTGTTGTAATGTCTCCATACTGCAGGTGTACTTTACATATTTGTGCTATATATCCTTTTGGGCCCTGGAACATCATTTTATAGAAAATCTAAAATTAATATTAAAATAAAACCAAATTATGAAACAGGCTGGATCATAATTGACCAATGATCATTTCACATAGACTCTATGCCTTTCAACGAAGATTTTCCGTTATAACTATAAATCAAATGATGTTTTTTATTCACCTGAATCATTTTATAAAGTTTATTTAACAGCTTTAAAAATTCGAAATTGAAATGGATAGTCTAAGGAACATACTGTATTAATGTACTCTACTGCATTTAATTTGTGAACATATACATGATTTTTACACTTTGAACTCCCTTTCAGGCTGAAAGGGACTGACAAAATTCATGCCGAAGGATTTTCTAAATTCCACTCTGATATATATTCTATTCTCTTTGGTCAGAACTATATGTGAAATGGCGCTCATCTACAACGCTTATTGCTTATTCCCTAAAGAAATTGGGTCTTTGTCACAAACTCCTAAATCTTTGACCTTAGATATTTAAATCTTTAACTTTGTTAAATCAAATAATTTCAGTATGAAATATCAACAGTTTACACCATCAGGTTGAAAGGTTTAGGGAAGAGAAAATTTGGGTTTGTGTCAAATATTTAATTTCTTTACAGCACAAAAGTTGGGCCATCTGGATAATCAACTTTTCACACTTTTCATAAAATTTTGATAGAATATATCAAGATTTTAATGATTCCAGTCAAAGAAAAAGAATAAAGAACCAACATTTTTATCTCAGCTTTACAATGGTTCTGCTGGTATTAAAAACGAATAGGATATAAACGAAATGTTTAACTATGGGTTTCTAATAATTAGTCCCCCGCTCCTATTATCCTACTCGAAATTTATCTGAGATTCATTCATTAGAACTCTCATCAGATTTCAAGTTTAATTTTTCATTTTCTAGAACGTTCTTCATAACCTGCAGAAAGTTGAACTACAGTTAGCTTTTATAGAGGTATAATTAAGGGAAGGAAAGTTCTAAACTGTGTTTATGTCCCAGAACTGACATTTGATTCAAATAGCATGATCAAAGTTTCGTTAACTCTTCTTGAGGCCGAATTTAAAAATGTAAGCCGCGGCTAGAACAACATGGTTGATTGCACTTTTATTCAGTGTTTAGAGATTTGAGCCGGCTCTTAATTGGAAGTTTGGAACCGGTTTTTGGCGGTTCAACGACCCGGTTTTAATTCTTTAAATTAGGCCTCTGGGTCAATAAAAGTAAGACGATTACTATGCCTGCTACTTGAAATAAAGGGTCTAAATAAATAAATAAATAAATAAATTTACTAATGATACTGAGTATCAGGTCCAGACAAAGTCACAGAGTGGAACCTTTCTCGATCCTCTGTAGTTATGTACAATATGTACATTGTACACTACATTATTTCCAATATAACTTTTCTAATTAAGCATCCGACATTCACAAAGAAGCAACAAATCATAATGTAAAGATAGTTATTTCAGAGGTGTACGCATTTTTTGTACTGCAGTGCACTGTCAGTGGGCTATAAAGTTAACAAAAGATGAATGTCACAGCCTGACATGAAATTCATCTTTCACATAAAAAATCAATGAAATATTCTGGTCATAGGAAACTTTTATGGGAATTATCAAATTTTCTAAATTAAATGCATTTATCCTCCTCAGATACTAAATGAACACTAATGCATCTATTCTTGTTTACAAATACCGCCCAGAAAGAACTGGTTTCAATATGTACGCAGAGAATACTCAACCGCAATTAACTTTTCTTGCCTTATTACCTTGTAAAGAACTAAGTTTTTTTGTATGTGTATAGTATACTGTGTACTATGTAATGTGTACAATGAGTTATGTACAGTGTATTGTGTACAGTGTATTATGTACAGTGTATTGTGTACAGTGTATTGTGTACTGTGTATTGTGTACAGTGTATTGTGTACAGGGTACTGTGTACAGTGTCTTGTGTATAGTGTATTGTGTACAGTGTATTGTGTACAGTGTATTGTGTACAGTGTATTATGTACAGTGTATTGTGTACAGGGTATAGTTTACAGGGTATGGTGTACAGTTTATTGTGTACAGTGTATTGTGTACAGTGTATGGTATACAGTGTATTGTGTACGGTGTATTGTGTATAGTGTATTGCATGTACAGTGTATTGTTCATAGTATACTATATTATGTACAGGGTTCAGAATACATGTACATCATCTCGTTATGTACAGGCTAATCTGTTGTCTGTTATGACTGACTGGCTAGCTCCAATGCCAGATAAAAGCTTGCCTCATATTAATATCAGGTTGGTTCATATTCAACTAAATGGTTTTAAATTTTTAATATGTTAATTAAAATCAATATCGTTCCCTCTATTAACCCTATTCCCGCTGGGGCTGTAGTTTTTTTTACATAACTCAAAAAGTATAGGTCTGAGGCTGTTGAAATTTTCTGACTTTTCTTACATACCCAAAGCCCTCCCTTTAGGCCTAAAACCGGGCTTTAATACTAACTGCCTGAGTCCTCAGNTATTGTATTGTATTGTATTGTATTGTATTGTATTGTATTGTATTGTATTGTATTGTATTGTATTGTATTGTATTGTATTGTATTGTATTGTATTGTATTGTATTGTATTGTATTGTATTGTATTGTATTGTATTGTATTGTATTGTATTGTATTGTATTGTATTGTATTGTATTGTATTGTATTGTATTGTATTGTATTGTATTGTATTGTATTGTATTGTATTGTATTGTATTGTATTGTATTGTATTGTATTGTATTGTATTGTATTGTATTGTATTGTATTGTATTGTATTGTATTGTATTGTATTGTATTGTATTGTATTGTATTGTATTGTATATTGTATTTTATTGTATTGTATTGTATTGTATTGTATAATTGTATTGTATTGTATTGTATTGTATTGTATTGTATTGTATTGTATTGTATTTTAGAACTGAATTTCTGAAGATGTTGAAAAATATGAAAATAGAAGATACTACCAGACTCAAGGAATCAGGAATAGGTAAGATGTCATGATGAAAAACAATTTAATAAAAATGACAATAGAAATTATATCAATAATCAAAATAAAATAATAATTGTTGTTTGTCAACATCCACTAAACCTATCTTTGTAGGTAATAATAATAATAATAATAATAATAATAATACTAATAATACTAATAATAGTAATAATAATAATAATAATAATAAAAATAATTCTAATACTAATGATATTTATAATAATAATAATGATAAGAATACTAGCAAAGTTAATGATTCTACTACATCCAATGTATAATGTGTAGGAAAGGCTGTAATGTACCTGTATCGACATCCAAGGGAAGATCGACACAATAAAATACTGGCAGGGCATATTATCAATGAGTGGGCCAGGTGATAGAAATTCATCTATATTCTGTATATTCATCAATTTTCTCTATATTCATCCGTATTCTGTATATTCCTCTATATTCTGACTATTCTTCTATATTCTGTATGTTTCTCTATATTTTGTATATTCCTCTATATTCTGTATAGTCTTCTATATTCTGTATGTTCCACTATATTTTGTATATTCATCTATATTCTGTATATTCTTCTACATTTTGTATATTCCTCTATATTCTGTTTATTCCTCTATATTTTGTATATTCCTCTATGCTCTGTATACTCCTCTATATTTTGTATGTTCCTCTGTATTCTCTATATTCATCCATTTTCTGTATATTCCTCTACATTCTGAATATTCCTCTATATTCTGTATATTCCTCTATATTCTGTATATTAATCTATATTCTGTATGTTCCTCTATATTCTGTATATTCCTCTATATTCTGTCTCTATATTCTGTATATTCCTCTATATTATATTCTGTATATTAATCTATATTCTGTATATTCCTCTATATTCTGTATATTCCTCTATTTTCTGTATAGTCATCTATATTCTTTACATTCATATTTAAACAGTATTCTGTAAAGACCTTTTTACCAAACATAATGTAAACCGTTGATAAGTTCTAAAGAATACATCTATATATAAAGTTACAGTATCTGTTTGTCTGTCTGTCTGTCTGTTTCTTTGACCGATCTTAACTGAAGAACCCATGAAACGATTTGCCTCAAATTTTGATTTGGGAACTCGGGAGAGCCACGGGAATGTTCTTAGTTTGATTTTGAGATTCTAAATTAAGTGGGGCCCATGATAAAGCAATACAAAAAATATTAATGAATAATTGCAGGTCGTCTTCCTGTTAATATTGGCGATCATAGTTTCTGTATATTTATTGTTCTATGTTTAGACCAATCTTCAAGAAGGAAACTGATATGTCCAGATTGACGAAAGACGAAAGAAGAGAGAAAGATGCGGATATGGCGGCTAGGTATTCTATATATAAATTTGGCTTGTCTTGGTGTTTGGGTGTTTGTTTGTCTGTTTGTATCCAATAAACGTCAAAACGGCTAAACCGATTGGGCCCAAATTTTTTGTGGGACATCTAGGGACCCCAGGGAAGGTTTATGAATGATCAAAATTTCAAATATTTGTCTCCATCAAAATTCGATCTTCATTAAATTTTTGAAAATTTTGAAAATCCACGAAATTTTTTGTGAAAATCCGCGAATTATTTTTGTTTTGTTTTACGATGTACACAAAGAGAACATGTTCATAATTAATTTAGAAGATAGGCGCGAAGCGCCCTCTAAGGGTAGTTGTAGAATAAATAGACCCTTTCTACAGTGTCATCATAATGGTTTGTATTTTTTAAATCTTCACTGATAGAGCAAAATGATATATATAAAATACGCAAACTTATAGTTAGACTTGAACATTTGTTTATATAAAGTCGTGAAATATAGCAAGGGTGAAACAACAGGGGTCTAATACCATGCATGTTTACAAAGACCCAAGAAAATTGGATAATTTTAGAGTATGGTCGGCCGGCAAAAGAGTCCAGATTTGTCGCCTATGGACAACTGTTTTATCTATATATAAATTTAGCTTGTCTGTCTGTTTGTTTGTATCCAATAAATGTCAAAATGGCTGAACCGATCAGGCCCAAATTTTGTGTGAGACCTCACGTGGCCACAGAGAAGGTTTATAAATGATCAAAATTTCAAATATTTGCCTCTATCAAAATTCGATTTTCATTAAATTTTTGAAAATTTTGAAAATCCACGAAATGGTTTGTTAAAATCTGCGAACTTTTTTTGTTTTATTTTATTTTACGATGTACATAAAGAGAACATGTTCACAATTAAAATAGAAGATTAGCGCGAGGCGCCCTTTCTGAATGCAAAGAATGATGAGGTAAAGGAAATTTCGGAAGAGAGGTTACAGATTTGAAAAGGTTTAAAATATATCATGACTTAATTAATAGTTTTCAGTTTAACTACGGGTACAAAAAAAAGAAGTTTTTAAAAAGCTCCTAAAAAATGAATATAGAAACCAATGTCCCATGCAATTGGATATTGTGATGAAAAAAAAAACGTAAATTGCAAAATATAGATAATTCAAATTACTTTTCACACGTATTAAATAGAATGTGATTAAAAGCTTACAGAAGGAATTTTTAATTTTCGATTAAACGTTTACATATTGCAGATAATCTGACTTGTTCCCACAAAATAAATTGACAAGTTGTGTTCGAAATGTCTTTGGTAGTTTTATATTGTTTTTTTTTAAAGAACCTTTTTTTACAGATTGGGTTTTAAGTTTCAATAAACATGTGATTTTAAATTATAAATTGTTATAAACGTGAAAATCATTAATCGCTTGCACGTCCTTTGGAAAAAGAAATCCTAAAACAGCAGAATGAAGAAAACTGTTTTGATTTTTTTAGATTGTAATTCCTTTTATCAATTAAAATTCAGATTTCAAAATTTTCATTCCTTTAGTTATCTTAAATAGGAGACTATGTTTCTCAAAACCTATTAAATACTGAGTTTATAAATTTTTAAGTTTATAAGTGCCCAGCGTTGCCCGTGAAATAAAAAATCGAATTTTGAAAAATCTAATTTTTATTAAGAAAAAATTCGTTAAGCCTATGCTACCCCCGGGATACCCATGAGTTCCCTCAAAACATGTCGGCCAATTTGGTCCAGCCGTTTGGCCAGCTCTATATCTTACATATATATGAGCTATATATCTTACATATATATGAGCATCTATATCTTACATATATATGAGCGAAGATCGACTTGTCCAAGGTACTAATGCAAGAAAAGTTAATTGCGCTCGCGTATACTCTGCGTACATATTGAACCAGTTCTCTCTGGGCGGTTAATTTGTAAACAAGAATAGATGAATCATGAATCAGTGTTCGTTTAGTATCCGAGGAGATTAAAAGTATTGAATTTTGATAACTTTGAAAATTCACTGAATAGTTTCCTATGACCAGAATATTCAATAGATTATTTTTGTGAAAATGGATTCTATGTCAGGCTCGGACATCCGTCTTTTGTTTACTTTTCCGCCCAAAGACAGTACACAGCAGTACAAAAAATGTGTACAACTCTGAAATAACTTTCCTTGCATTAGTACCTTGGACTTGTCAAGCTAAGCTTAGATAAGTATATTTTCTACAGATTGGGTCGGAAGAAAAAGCGAAAACTTGAAAACGAAGAGGAAGTCCAGATAAGACCAGGTAAACCCTAAAAACAAAATTGTACAGGGTTATCCATCAAGGATTAGGCTTGAACGACGACCTGAAACTTTATAATAATAAATGTAATGCTTTGAAAGCAGATCTTTAAGGTTTGGCTCGTGCGTAAAGTACAACGATTTCTTCTTAAATATCTTAAATTATTATTTTCTTTTATGAATAATATATCATTAATAATAAGAATACATTAATGAGTTTAAAAGCCCAGCACGTTTTTAACTGAGATATCCATGTTTTTTCTTTCCAAAAAAATTATAATGATAAAATGCGATTTTGTTTATCAAAGCATGTTTATCGGTGAATACCTTATTTTAAGATAAATAAATGACGATATCTTCTCATTGTTTAAAAGGACTGTTAGCGTAAGTTTTAATTGACCCTCATTGCAAAGATGACAATGCCCGATTCACAACAGTACCCTTAAAAGCGTTAATTCTGGTCATTTAAAATATCGCTTAGAGTCAACATTGTGTCTTGAAAATACGCTAACGGTCCATCTAAAACTATAATAAAGGGGATCCTGGCTGGGTTGAACGAGCTAGAGTGCCTATGGTGGATAATGCTGAATATATTCAAAGGTTATTATTTGGAATATTTTTAATAGAATGTAGAATAATTTACATAACATATAAAAATGTTTAGACCCGTATGGCAAACTACAGTGGAAGTTTCAGATGTGAAAAAGAGCAATGTAAGCTTCAAGTATTGTAAAAGAAAAGGGCGGTTAAATATAATAACTACAAGGGGCGGGGGTGATAAAAAATAGACAATTAGACTTTTTTCAATAAAACTCCAGTAAATCTTTTTTTTTCAATTCTAAACAATCAAACCGCTTGAGATACCCGGAATATACAATCTAGCCAGATGATATTCTAAAACTATTCCAAAACTTAGATTGAATTATGATGAAAAAAATAGAGGGTCTGAGATAAAGATTAAAAAGTTTTTGTTTCTTTAAAAAAATTAGTTTTTTTAGAAAATCTCTCTCCTGGAGAAACATAAGAGATTGTTTGCGGAGAAGAAAAGGCTGAGTAAAAACCTTTCTCTTGTCAAGATATCAATAGAGGGAAGCAAGATGTCGGAGTAGGACAAGATCAAGGAATAGGACAACATCAAGGAATAGGACAACATCAAGGAATAGGAAAACATCAAGGAATAGGACAACATCAAGGAATAGGACAACATCAAGTAAAAGAACAGCATCACGGAATAGGATCGACAGCATAAATGAATAGGACAGCATGAAGAAACAGAACAATATTAGGAATAGGACAACATCAAGGAATAGGACAACATGAGGGAAAAGGAAAATATCAAGGAATAGGACAATATCAAGGAAACGGAATATGTCAAGGAATAGGACAACATCAAGGAAAAGGACTATGTCAAGGAATAGGACAACATCAAGGAATAGGACAACATCAAGGAATAGGACAACATCAAGGAATAGGACAACATCAAGGAAATAGGACAAAATGAAGGAATAGGACAACATCAAGGAATAGGACAACATCAAGGAATAGGACAAAATGAAGGAATAGGACAACATCAAGGAATAGGACAACATCAAGGAATAGGACAAAATCAAGGAATAGGACAACATCAAGGAATAGGACAACATCAAGGAATAGGACAACATCAAGGAATAGGACATCAAGGAATAGGACAACATCAAGGAATAGGACAACATGAGGGAATAGGAAAATATCCAGGAATAGGACAACATCAAGAAATAGGACAACATCTAGGAATAGGACAACATCAAGGAATAGGACAACATGAGGGAATAGGAAAATATCCAGGAATAGGACAACATCAAAAATGATGTATCATTTGTCATATTTGGACATAAAACATGGGATTTAGAGGGGGGGGGTCAAATTGACCCCCCCCCCAGCGTATCCTGGTTTTCAAGTACCCCAGCGGGGATAGGGTTAAGTGAAATGCCCCTTTACCCTTTAAAATTTGATCTGATCAATCATAAATCAATCGTCGAAAGTTGATTATTTTCTGCTTCATGAAGAAAACGTAGCCTATACTCGATCTGAAGCGTAAAATACTATATAACTGAGGTATATGTGTCAGATACAGAGTTATCCGCAAATTCTAAGACTTCAGAGACAACTACAGGGTGTCCCAAATGGTGTCTATAATGTCTCCGCAAGATGAACAGTGAAGACGGACAAGTTTACTCTGTTTGTATACTGCACTTTTCTTGTTTTACTAAGTACAACCGTATGCAGTCAAAACATAAACAAACAAAATGTGAACATAGCAACTTAGAAACTTTTACAGATCACAGCTTTCTTTGTATGTATCCCTATACTAAATCAAAGAATTATTTGAAAAGACGATATCGAATTTGTCATTGAATTCCAATGTTTCACCCTGTATAAGAAAAAAGCTTGCTCCAATTACTAAGATTTACAGTTCTCTGCGCCTTTCTTGCCAATATTTAATAAAAACCTCTAGTCCCCCTATTAATCCTCTCGTCCCCCTATTAGGCTTCAAGTCCCCTTATTAGTCCTCTAGTTTCCCAATTAGTCCTCTAGTCCCCTTATTAATCCTCTAGTTTCCAAATTAGTGCTCTCGTCCCCCTATTAAGCTTCTTTTCCCCTATTGTCCTTTAGTCCCCCTATTAGTCCTCTAGTCCCCCTATAATAGTCATCTAATTCCCCTAACATAGTCCTTTAGTCCGGTTAATATTCCTCTAATCCCCCTATTAGTCCTCTAGTCCCTCTAGTAGTCTTCTAGTCCCCCTTTTACTCCTCTGGCCACCCTATTAGGCTGCCATTTGTACAATTCAATTCCGCCTTTATGTTAGTTTTATGTAGATTCCTCTTACATACATATACCATACACTGTATTCTCAATGTGTTTCTATTAAACATCAGATACTTATTTATTTTATTTTTAGATTCTAAACTGTTAGTCAGAAATCTGGTTGAAAACTAAATTAAAAAATAAACGTTTTTTAACCTAGCCTTTTTATTTTTATATGGTGCATAATATTTAACGGGACCAATAAAACAACATCTAACAATTTCTTTTTTATATTCGTTTTAAAGCCGAAAAACAGACTACATTATCGATCCCAAAAGACGTCTTACTTAATATGATGATATTAAAGCCTTTATTGTAATAGTATACATAAAAACTAAAAATGTTACTTCTTATTCCATCTCTAATGCTTAAAGGGACTGTAGACGGTTAATTTCAAGTGTTCCTGTATTTATAAATTGATATATTTGATTAAAAAGGTTAGTTTGATAATCAAGAGCAGAAAAAAGCGTTAAAAATGAAGTGAAAACTACTATGGAAACTTTTACGCTAATCCTTTGCTAATTGTATAAGCCATCAACTATACCGGGAGCGTACTGCATATTAGTTTATTATAAGCCATCAACTATACCGGGAGCGTACTGCATATTAGTTTATTATAAGGCCGAGATTCTGGCCTAACCTATAGTATATCAATATTAGTAAACAGTTGTGAGTGTACAGTACAGCTAACTGAGCACACAGGTAGATAATTATCATCCCCCCCGTATAGTGAACATTAGCGTACATCCAACTAAAATTAAAGGGACTGTAAAGGAAAATTAAAGGGACTGTAAAGGAAAATTAAAGGGACTGTAAAGGAAAATTAAAGGGACTGTAAAGGAAAATTAAAGGGACAGTAAAGGAAAAATGAAAGGGACTGTAAAGAAAAAATTAAAAGGGGGTAAAGGATGAAACCAGAGAATCTCAGGCGTTGAACGATACGATTACGTTTCCAGTCACTTTAATCTATTCTAAACATAAAAGCTTTTTTTATACAATAATGAAGATGAAGAGCAGGACAAAAATATTGGGATTAATTGCTGTTCTTTCTATAATTGTTTCCTATAAGTTACTGAATGATGATCAGGAACTTGATATATTTAATCTTGAACAGAAGGACCCCGACCTGGTCGAGTTCGTGAGACACAACTTTTTGATCAGATCAGGGATGTCAGGATCCAAAGGGAGGGTTTGATTTTTTTAAATTGAAAATTATAATTGGCGTCTCATACCGTGTGTGTGCAACATACAAAAAAGGTGTAAAATGTTACGAATCATGTTGTCAGATGACTGCCGCAAAGAATTTTAAATATCACAGACGATTTATCTCTTAGCTCTCTTGTTTAGTGGGGCACCCAGTATGCAACTTATAACTGCATTAAACCGAAACACATAAAAAAATACCACGCGTTAAATTTTGTGTCTATCCGAACCTTCAAAATGCAAGCTTTTTTAATTAAAGACAAAAAATCTTTCATTAGACAGTTGGGGTTCTAAAACACATTCTCACACCAATAAACAGACAAACAAACACCAAAACCGCCCATTTCGGGTTAAATGGGCGGTTTCTATAAAACTTTAATCAAATGATTTTTGATTCTAGGTTTTAAAGAGCATACCCTGGAGCTTGGTAGATATTTGGTTGGTGGGCGTTGAAACAAATCATATTGGAGAGTTCGATCAAACAAAATCAAAGTATTTTTTAGAGAATTCATATTGAAGGGAAATTTGTGAATGATCCCCTACAGGGTGTTTTTTATAATTAGTTTTTCCATTTCGTTAAGACACAAAAAGTACAATTTTAGCACCAGACGCCGCTAATCACAATTTTTTTACTCACCCTGTATAATGAGAAATTTTTAAAAAATTTAAGTTGAATTTTTACCTATAAAATCATTCCAAGGTTTCGACTGAGTTCCCCAATCAAATTTGAGGTAAATCGGTCCAGGGGTTATGATCGGACATCCAAACAAATAGATAGACAGACAAACAGGAAGGGATGGAAGCGCAGTGAATTAGTTCTATAGCAGTAATTCTGATGCAATTAATGGAATATTTTCGAGGCTTGCCTTGTTCTTTTTATTATTCCCAGGATTTAAAATATTTATATTTCAGATCTGATGTTATTAACTTTATGATAGAACAAGGATATAAACATATTGGAACTTTTGCAATAGATGATTTCTTCATTAAAGCTCATGAGGTGCAAATACAATTAAATGGAATATCTTTAAGTTGGTTAGATGAATCATCAGTTCGCAATTTATGTGTTTACATGTTTCTAGTAAGTTTAACAACCTTACAAAGGTCAAATATTAATAACGTTTTAGTTCTAATCCTATCCCAGCTGTTAACAAAAACAAAATCTTAAAAAATGTTTCTTTTACGCATTTTTGATACTTAGTTGGTACTTATAGGACAAAAGTAAGACAGAAAAACATGTGGGACAAGAGAAACTTTGGAAAGGAAAAACGTATGAAAGGAAAAACGTATTAAAGGGAAACCCCATAAAAGGAAACAGGTACGAAAATAAAAATAAAATGTGTGAAAGGGAAAGGGTAAGAAAAGAAAAACGTATGAAAGGGAAAGGGTACGAAAGGAAAAACGTATGAAAGGGAAAGGGTACGACAGGAAAAACGTATGAAAGGGAAAGGTTACGAAAAGAAAAACGTATGCAAGGGAAGGGGTACGAAAGGAAAAACGTATGAAAGGGAAAGGATACGAAAGGAAAAACGTAGGAAAGGGAAAGGGTATGAAAGTAAAAACGTATGAAAGGGAAACTTATGAAAGGAAAATACAGGGCAAATATAATGAACAACCATCTAGCTGCAGCACTCTGGGAAAAGGAATAACCTAACACCAACACTATATATGCATATAAAAGTTATGTTAACCTTCTATATTTGTCCTTGCATGTGCGATAATACAGTCCTTCATTTGGCCTATTAATACTTGCAATATGAACCAAAAAAACAAACGTTTGGATCGTTTCTGATTTGTTTTTTTTGCATATATTTTCTGTCCGGGTCGAAATCTGTTTAGAATAAACAGTTATTCACACATTTGTGTTTGCCAAATTTTGACCCTGAAAAAAATTTTAGGCGAAAAACAAACCCAAAACAATGTTAATGTACATCACTACCTCACTCAACAATGGCGTAAGGGTTGATAAAAGGTGACTTTAACAATCGTGACATGGATTGGGCTTTATATTTAATTAAAGGAACATTTGAAATTATTCAGACAAATCTTTAAATGGAGATAGGATTAACTATTATTGTATATTCCAGGTATTTTTCACCAAGGATTTGATGATTCGTCTGCAAAAACGTGGCAGAAAGAGAAGAAAATATAGAAAACTAAACTAAAGTGAAACTGATCAAAAAAAAAGCTTAATAAAACAGAAAAAAGAAACCCACAAGAAACTAGCTAAAGAAAACCCGTCCCAATGAAAACCTTAAATAGGAAAAATTGCCATTTTCATCCGCGGCGAGTGGGGTTGGGGGTATATTTTAATCAATTGTTTTCATCTTAATTAATACTCTGCAAATCCTTTTATCTGTAATATTTAAATTTGTAAACAAACCCATTTCTCTTAAAGAATGGATTTGCTAGCTAATGCTGCTTTCTGACATCATAAAATAAACATAAGCTTGTATAAATGTCGTCTTCTTATTCCACTGTTACAATAATCTCACTGTAAAGAGCCAATTTAAGTCTATATTTTACGGAAGATAAAATTTTCTGACAATTTTGTAAATGTTGAAAAAGTTCACAAAACTTTTTTAATTTAAAACTTTTCCCACCTGTTTAGACAAAAACTGTATTTTTGGTGTTATTGTTTTACTTTCTAAACGTTTCGTTATTGATATTAGTAAAATATATAAAATTGGATTTTAAAAAAAGAAAACTAATTTCATTGTAGCAAATTTTTTTAGACTTTTAGACATCTCATTAAAAAAACATATTTTAGAGATCTTTCTTTTAATTAGAAAAAAATAGTTTTCTATTTGATTTCAATTTAGGATGAAATTTGATAAATTGAAGAGAGGTCGCTGAACTTCCTACCTCCGGTTCAACTATCTTTCAAGTGCTCACTGGCTCAAATCTTGAATCACCGATTAACAGTTTAATTAAAAGATACGCAGTTGAGTCGTCTCTACTTAGTTCAGCGACTTCTCGCAATTTATTAATTCCGGTCCCTGGACAATTAAAAACTTGTTTCAAATTATCAAAATTGACCAAAAATTATGAATTTGATTAAATTTTGTCCTAAGTATGTTAAAAATAAAAAAGACTAGATATTGATTAGAGAAGAGAGGTACGGAGGTTACAATGTATAAAATGTATAGTCCTACTCGAGTAACAAGGACCAGCAATTTCTAAATTTATCATTAATGCCCAAATTTTTTTATAATTGGTGTAAAACCACTTTCATTCTTAATTAAATCCTAGCCACAACTTCTCATTTTTAATTCTTATATTTTTGAAACCAGCTGGTGTAAACCTTTAATATTTCAAGCTGATAATTTTACAAGATCTAATAATTTAAGTTTGAAGGGTTCTACCTGCAGGTTTCAAAGATTATAAAATTTGAGTTTGTAGCAAGTGATCAGTTTCTTTATAAAAGTTGGTTCTTTTACTCTGTTAACAATACAGTGATGTACAGTTTAGCATAAAAATGGCAGTACAATAAAGATTATGCCACACATTACAAATATATTTCTTCTTCTTCACGTCGATACACCTTAAATGTACTTCGGGTATGCTCTTTTACAGCAGAGGGTTTCCCGTACTTCATTTGTACACAATTGTACAGTGTACAGTGTACAGTGAACACACAGTACACATATTGTTTTTATTTTACTGGGTATCCCTAAATGAAAATGCTTTTAAAAGATTAAATTCAATGGAAGCCTTAAACAATGCTACCTCACGGAGATACAGACTATCAGAATTATCATAAAACATGTATGTAGTGAGAATCAGAAAACTCCGGAATGAGAAGAAGGCTTTTAGACTCAAGTTAAGACTGTAAAAAGTCCTATAAATATGAAATACAGGAATTGGGTAGTGTAAGCAGACCCATTTTACTGAATAAGTGATTTGAAAAGTGACTAGTAATTCTATTTGCTTTGTTACGACATCAAATCAACTTAAGTTTTACTTTAATATCGCATTCCTATTCCTCAGTTGTCTGGTTCTCTTATAAAACCCAGCACTATACAAGGAAAGTTAATTGCGGTCGTGTATACTCTGCGTACATATTGAAACCAGTTCTCTTTGGGCGGAATTTGTAAACAATAATAGATGCATCAGTGTTCGTTTGGTATCCGAGGAGGTTAAAAGCATTAAATTTTGATGATTTTAATAATTCACACAATAGTTTCCTATGACCAGAATATTTCATTGATTTTTTTAAGTAAAAGATGGATTCCATGTCAGGCTCTAACATCCATCTGGTGTTTACATTTCCGCTCAGAGACAGTACACTGCAGTACAAAAGATGCGTACACTTTTGAAATAACTATCCTTGCATTACTTCCTTGGCACTATATATCTTTATTTCATTCAGTTGTTAGATACAGATTATTTGTAATCTCCAGTCTTTGTACAGGGTTACTGTCTGTTTTCTTAAATGCATAATTCCCTGCATTTAAACCTACTTTTATAAAATAAGTGAAAAAAATATATTCAAGACAGAAGACTTAAATTAACCTTGGGATTGTCATATTTTTAGAGTTTTAGGTCGTCTTTATAGTCTTAATCTTTCTGGGTCACCCTGTATATAAGTTAGAATTTAAACATGTAAAGAGTGCCAAGTGTGCAATTTAAGGGAATCATAGATTAGTAGATTAATTACAGAAAATATAAGATTAAAAAATAACTTCTTCAATGTTATTTATTACTCAGTTTAAAGGTCTTGTATCAGGAACTCTTAATTTATCCATAGAGGTTCAACCTCGAGGATAGAGGTTCAACTGGAATTACGTCAATTTAGTGTAAAATCTTTCTCACAGTTAAAATTTTACATTTTTTATCCCGTTTAAATAAAAGAAAAAAGTTTTATAATTCAAATTTTTATTTTTATTTTAAGCATTCATTCCTTTCTAGCTGAAGCATAGCATCAAGTTCATCTGTTAGATCAGCTAACATACTTCCTATATCATTCAATACATCTCCAGCAGTTCTACCTGGAACCCTAGATAGATAGATAGATAGATAGATAGATAGATAGATAAATAAATATTAAGTCTACCTAATCCGAATTGTTCCGGCGTTATCATTAGCAAAAGGAATAGTTCCAGGGTCACTTTCAAAACTACCAATCTTCCTCATCTAGATATATAGTTAAATAGTTAATATGGCAGATAGTTTGATAGTTAATGGGGTAGAAAGCTAGACAGTTCAAAGGGTAGATAGATAGATAATTAATAAGGTATATATGTGGTTAGATAGTTAATAGGATAGATAGTTAGATAGTTCATATGGTAGATAGTTAGATAGCTAATAGGGTAGATAGCTAGATAGTAGTTTATAAGGTACATAGTTAGATAGTTAAAAGGATGGCTATTTTAGGGTTTCCATTCGCAAAACTTTTGCGCAATTTTTGCGGAACGAAACGCAATATTTTTCTTTCTTTGCGCATCAATTTTGCGCGAAAAAACAATAATTTGCGCAATCATTCGCAAAAGTCATTTCGCGCAAAATTGCCCTATTCCGCTTTTGCGAAACTCAAGTTTTGCGCAATTCCGCAACAAGAGTTTTGCGCAAATCCGCAATTCCGCAATTTCGTAAAAATCAAACGGTTGGTGACGGTGTGTGTTTCTTAGAATTCAATTCTGGAAAAATCTTGTTTTGGAATGTCTTCCTATTGGTCACTTTTACATAATTGACCAATGACAATTAAGAAGAGTTCAAATCTTTTGGACATGCATATTTCCTAAAAGTAGATTCTTCAGGCATTGGTTACTTTCTTGCATTATTTTATATGAAATCAAAAAGATTTCAGAAATTTGATTAAAAAAATTTAAGAATACAATTCATACTCATGATTAAGCAAAGCTTTTAAGGCCGGGTCACTAGAAATTATTTAATAGGATTAAAATATTGCAAAGTTTCAAACTCTCTAATTTCTATTTTATTAATTTTGGTCCCTTAATTTAAACTTTTTGTAACTGGAAGTAACCAATTGAGTGTAGTATAATCGTTATCATACTCGTATGTTAATATTTTTTTTGTATATGGAATAAATCTTCAGTTGTTTAATTCTAAGCTTAGAATATCAATTTTTGACAATGTGCCTAAAAAGTTACATTTTGCGTAAAACTTGCGGTTTTGCGCAAAAACTTGCGGTTTTGCGCAAATTGCGCAAAAAAATTGCGCAAAACTAAAATTTCGTTTCATGCGTAACTTTCGCAAAAAATATTTCCGGTTTTGCGCAAATTGCACAAAATAAATAGCGCAAAACTCATTGCGTTTCATGCGCAAAAATAGCGCAAAAGTTCGCAAAAATAAAATTTGCGCGAAAATAGCGCAAATTTTGCGCAAAAGATTTAGCCATTTCGTGGAAACCCTAGGCTATTTAGATAGTTAATAGGATAGATAGTTAGATAGATAGATATTCAATAGTGTAGATAGATATATAGTTAATATGGTAGGTAGTTAGATAGTTTATAGGGTAGCTAGTTAGATAGTTAATACGTAAGATTGATAGATATGTAATAAGATAGATAGTTCGATAGTTAATAGAATAGATAGCTAGATAGTTAATAGGGAATATATACAGATAAATGGATAGTTAATTGAGCAAGAACAAGAACAAGAACAAGAACAAGAACAAGAACAAGAACAAGAAGGTTATAAACCTGTATCCCTGTATCTGAACCCCGTCTTGGTCTTCTGAGTGTAGGAGTAGGAGATCCTTGGAGACGGTTTGGAGAACTCATTCCTGGATACAAATCATTCATTTATTATTCCTGGATACAAATCATTTTACTATTTATTTCTGGATACAAATCATTCATTTATTCATTCCTGGATACACATTATTTAATTATTCATTCCTGGAGACAAAATATTCAATTATTCCTTCATCCTGATATACGACCTTTTATCAATTTACTTGGTGTTTACGTATTTATTCATAGTTCTAAAGAAGAGAATGACTTCAAATTCTCAAAAGTTAACTTAGTTTTCAAACCCAGGTGTGCAAATGAAATTGTGAATCAACATTTCCCCCAAAAAATTCTCTTGAATTTGAATGCTACATGTAGACTAATTGGCACCTCCTGTTTAACTCAAAAAAATTTAAAAAGCTATGGGAGGTTCGAAGACTGGTGAATATAAAACTGTTAAAAATGTCGAAATTAAACTCAATTGCACCTATTAAAATATTAAAATGAAACCAAAAATCCTGAAAATGATTTTAGTTATTTTCTATAAGTAATATCAATGAAAAATGGTCATGCAGTTGAAATTACATTCAAGTTCAAAAGCTAGGATTATTTTAAAAGAAGGCAATAAGATGTCTAGTGTGCATGTATATATATATATAAATTTATATATAAATACATACGCATGGTGTGTGATTATATCAATATAAAGAAGACGACTTTTTTATTTAAGTTTTAGTTGTTAGCAAGGTTTTTTTTGAATTACAAGATTACATGTAATTAAAGAGGAGCTTTATAAATTGACAGCTTCTCTTTGTTACCATGTTTTTGTGTATCCATGCTGTTTAAAAGCTTGATTCAAGTCAAAATCAAATTCAAGTCAATATATATATATATATAAATATATGTTTTGACCTGACGAGGTTCCTGGAGAGTCCTCGGTATCACAGCCTCCAGCCTTTAGATCCTAAACAACGAGTATTAGAGATCAAATCATTTTTTTAAATATTGATTTTTTTTAAATACTAGCTTAGGGAAACCCTGCCTTGCGTCTAAACTTAACTTTCTTCATAAAAGTCAACTCACTAAACTTTAAACCAAGCTAAGAACACACCAACGAGCACCTTTTTTATATACATACAGATAAATATCTTTTAAATATGCAGATCAATACTTTTGAAGATATGCAGCTGAGACTGTAATTGTATAGGTAGAAATATTCTGATAGAAAAAAACTTAAACTGAATTTCGATAATATTCTTTACTTCAAAATGCTATTAATATGCCCAACGTTTAAAATATTATACAAATGTTATGTATTTAGTATACACAGATTTATAATATAATATATTCAACATTTTAAAATAGTAAAAACATTTCCAACTTCTAGAAAAACTTGCATTTAATAACAAAGGCTCAGCTTTGAAAACAAATTAAACTAGGCTCAGTTAAAATGTTTTGTTTGCCGTGGCACTAGGTTCAATTACAGTGTTTGCCGTGAAACTAATCTCATTTAAAATATTTGCCGTGAAACTAATCTCAGTTAAAGTGTTTGCTGTGAAACTAATCTCAGTTAAAGTGGTTGCTGTGAAACTAATCTCAGTTAAAGTGTTTGCTGTGAAACTAATCTCAGTTAAAGTGGTTGCCGTGAAACTAATCTCAGTTAAAGTGTTTGTCGTGAAACTAAAGAGTAGTTTCCCATTTTTTAATTAATTAGTTTTAAGTGTTGTTTTGAAAGGAAAATTTAATGATGTCAATAAAAGAAATCAATTAAATTTTTCTTGGACCATTTTTACAAAAAGTTACAACTCCGTAAATGAAATGTTCGGTTCTTAATAAAGGAGTTAGACTTAAAAGTTTCACTTTTTCTTCCAAATTTGTCCCGTTTTATGATTTTAAGAAGTTTTAAAGCTTCCACAGTTTTTACTATTTAAACTATTATAAAATTTGAAAGGTTATAGTTTGTTTAAGTTCAAACTGTCGATTCAAATTACATTAGTTAAAACATGGCATGTTTCGAACAGTACAAGAATGCCGAACTAGTATTAGCGTACCGACCCTTCTAGTGTACCCAGTATGTGGTTGCCCCAACTTGTTTTATGAATCAGAAAACGGCGAACTAAACAAAAGTGACAAATGTCATTTGACGGCCGGGCCAATCACAACAACATAAAATATTTTTTTTCTGGATTTTTGTTTTAATTTTTTACCTTTCCATGATCTTCTTTGCTAACCTCGATTTCCGGTTCCGATTCACGAGTTTTTGCAATTATTTTTGCAACTGGTCGCGGTTTTATAGTACCCTAATCAGTGGAAATTTTAAAATTGATAAATGAGAAATAAAGATTAGATTAAATCTAAACCTTGAGGGGCATGCCTGATTCAGAACGGTACCCTTGAAGCCTGTAACTGATCAATGATGATGTTGAGTATGATGTTCTTTTCTTGTTTTATTCTTAATGTTTCCTCCGTTGTTTTAAAACTTTAAAGCAGAAATGCTCAAGTCACTTTTAGAAAGAAACCACAATTGAAACTAATAAATATTCAGAAAGAGAAACATGGATAGCTAATTAATACTTGACCAGCCAAAGCTTCTCAGGGCACCGTTATGAATCGGACAGTCCACTCAATAAGTAGAAAGAGATTTAAAATTAAGTCTAGTGTCTTTAGGCAAAAAATCTTTAAAGTCCCAAAGAATATACCAAAGAATTAAAGATTCAGATATAACTGGCTTATTACTGAAATATTCTTCTTCATTTAGAACAACTTAAAAAGAAAAAATTCCTACATTTTATAAGTTATAGCGAGATAATTTTTTTAAGTTTTAAACGTTTACTCTTATCTTGATTTTAAATCTTGGAGGGTAGGAATGCTAATAAGTTACAAAGAACGTACAGCTTGCAAAGGTCAGAAATTTTTTTTTTCAATTGCAAATTTTATCTGACCTAATTTATTTAGTAAAATACACTTATCGAATATTTATAAATGAACAGTGAACAGGAGACAACTCAATTCAGATTCAAAAATAAAATTAAACTTATTTTAAAACATTTTATTTAAATAAAGAAAGAACTTGAAAATGTAAAGTGATAGATAAAGACCTTTGGGCGTGGAAGTGTCCCTGACTTGTTCTGCGACCTCGGAGCGTCATGAATTAGAACCGAATGGTCAGCGTGACGCAAAATATCTGCGTCATCGTAGGACCTCATCATACGCCAGGGGGAGGGGGAGGGAGGATGTCCCAGACCTCCTGCAGCTCTAAAAAAAATATTTTTTGAAAGTTAGATTTTTGAAAATTTATAATTTAGATATTAAAAATATGATCTCTTCAATTCTCTGAATATTGGATATATAAATTTCGCTTCTGAATTGTAAAAAATAAGATTTCATTTAATTTTTATAAAACTTTCATAGAATCAGAGAATATGATACAGTGATACCCATAAAACTATAGAATATAAAGACGACTGTACGAACCAAGTAATGTTTTTAAATAGTCCGATGAACATTAAAAGAATAAAATATTCACCCCTTTCTTTATTTTTTTTTTCAGAGACTTTTATAAACGAAAAGGGGAAGAGAATAAAATTAAAATATGGCGATGTTGAATTTTTTGTTTTAATAATATTAAGAAAACCTCTTCATAATCTATGAGACAAGTTTGGGAGTTCTCTGTATAAGCGGCTTTTACTAATATTACATTATAAAAACCTTTTCAATTTTCTAGTTAGTAATCTCCCACCCCACCCCCCCCTCCCGACACTCCACTCTTTCTTTCTCATCCTAGTAAACATATCTTTCTCATTTGTAAACTTCCCCCCCCCCTCGGAATCCTTCTTGTCCCTCCAGATCATAAATCATGAGAAATTTCTAACAATTTTTGAATATATTACCTTGGTATAAACCTAGGGCTGCCTGGGTATCCCCCTTGGAAGTTTGCCCCTCCCTGGTGGGGGATTGTGCCCCCCTGAAATGTTGTTTGGTAGAGGGGGTACTGTAAAGGGGGCATAGGATCAGGTATACTAGTGGGCAGCTCCTCATTGCTGGCAAATCCTCCACTCTAAACAAAATATAAACTATTAGCTAAGCTGGAGTGTCCAGCGTTGCCCGTGGAATTTTAAAGAATTCTACTTTATTAAGCCAATGATTTAAGCCGTTAAAAAAATGTCCGCCAATTCGGTCCAGCGGGTTGGTTTGCTATACCGAACACATAAATGAGCAAAGCAGCTTTAGTTAAAGATTAAAGAAATTAGAAATATAAAATTTTGACAAAAAGTCCTCTTTAAAAAAATCATATTTTAAATTAAGAAAATTCCTTTCAAACCTTCGAGTGAACAAAAAGATATTTTATTTAAAATATTTTTTTCCAATTTATTTACAAAATAGAAAATTAGGTTTAAAGGGGACCGTTGAAATTTTGACACTTAACCCTTTAAAGGCTGGGGGGCCGTTTGGCGCCTTCCCCCTTAGCAAAAGGCCTTAGAGAATCAGTATAGGGTTGAAATGCATGTTCATAGCCCAATTTTTCAAGGCTGCAGCTCATAGAAAAAATTAGACCGTTGACTTTAATAGTTTGGGTGCTAGTGAGGGTTGAACAAAATGCTTAGTAAAGGGTCAAAAAAGTGAATAAAATATTTTTTTGTTTTAAACAAACATCAAAGTGTGAAACATGTTCCTACATGCATTTTTCAAGGGCTTTTTAAAAATATAGGTTTTAGATCTGTAGCTTTACTCACAAGAAATTTAAAGGCTATTTTAGATTTTTTTTTCACAGAGCAGACTTTTTTTTCGCCCTGTACCCTACCCTATAAATAAAAAAATAAAATTTTTACAAAAAATCCTTTAAATTACTATTCATTAAAAGTCAAATAATTTCACGGTTATAGTGTCAACAATTAGAGTGCTAGGACAAAAAAACTACAGGGGGCCCAAACGCCCCCCCCCAGCCTGTTTAGGGTTAAATAGTGATCCCTTTGAAATTACGTTTACTTCTGTCCCTCTTAGATTAATATATTGAGACTAGAGTTTAGAAAAGAGCTAACCTGCTTTATTCTCATAAAATCAGGTAAATATTGAAGAGGAGTGTGCTGCTGGTGACCAGAGGTAGGTTGGAACAAACACTGGGATTGGTTGTGTTGGGATTGGGAAGGGTTGTGTTGGGATTGGGAAGGGTTGTGTTGGGATTGGGATGGATTAAACTGTTGAAATGAATGAAACGGTTGTTGCTGTTGTTGGAAACTATGTTGTTGATGAAGGTGAGGTGAATGTTGTTGATTATGATGAAAAGGTTGAATGTCGTGAACTAAAAAACAGATTAATTAAAAATATAAAATGTTAAAGCATTGAACTGTTTAGACAAGAATGAGAGAGAAAGAAAATGTATTTTTCACAGAAAATAAAATATTTGGAGGGAACCTACTCCAAAGAAAAGTAAATTTGTAAGACTATGTCTGCATGGTTCAGGTACTCCTAGCTATTCGTTAAATTTGGGTTTGGTGGACTTCCCTGACACCAAGCTAATTTATGCTAAAACATTGTTTGGACACAATAGCATACTAGTATAATTACAGAATAGCATAGAATACAAATTACAGAGAAACAGATAGATACAGAGATACAGGGTTAGAGGGAGAGAAGGATACAGGGATACATAGATTAAGGGATTCAGAGATACAGGAATACATGGACAAAGGGATGACACAGGGGCACAGCTCTGGATACAAGGATACAGAGATACAGAGATACAGAGATACAGAGATACAGAGATACAGAGATACAGAGATACAAAGATACAGAGATACAGAGATATAGAGGTATAGAGATACAGAGATACAGAGATACAGAGATACAGAGATACAGGGATACAGGGATACAGAGATACAGGGATACAGAGATACAGAGATACAGAGATACAGAGATACAGAGATACAGAGCTACAGAGATACAGAGATACAGAGATACAGAGATAAGGCTCAGTAGCATTTTGCCTAGTACAAGTTTGCCTAGTACACTTTCGCCTACTAACTTTTTGCCATATAGGTAATATTTTGCCTAGATATTAACATTTATTTTTGAATATTGGTTATTACAAAATTCTATAACAAATCATATGATAGCAGCTTCTAGTTTTTTGATATCTCTATTTTTATTGTTCTTGATTTGCATCATTGACCAAATATTGGCTGATTTTGAAAAAAAAAATTGTGACGTCCCTTCAAAGCCAACACTTTGCTTAGACATGGATTGCCTAGCTAACATTTTGCTTAGACATAGCTTTCCTTGCTAACATTTCGCCTAGATAACTATTGTTAAGAATAAAGAAAACTAAATAAAGGAAAAAGAATAAAAATCAACAACCACCGAAACTAAAATTTTTTAAAAATTAGAAATAAAAGAAAAGATAAAGAATCGATAAACAATTGATAAAAAAATAAAAACTAACTGAATAAACAAGAAAGAACAGGTAAGAAGAATAAATAAATAAATAAATTACAAAAAAAATTGCTGAACCTTGGTGTGTGAATGATGAGAGAGAAGGGCGTGGTGGAAGTTTCGATATTCCTGTATCCTAAAAAATGTATTGATAAAAAAAATATATTTCAAATTTTGATCGAAATATTAATTGAAACGGATTAATTTCTGTCTTCGTTTATTCTTGTATGTAAAAAATACAGCTTAGGATCATGTATTTTAAACTGATATCCCGGGGACATTTATTATTGAAAGAAGACGACATTCCTTTTGTTGATATGTTTTTAGTTCGTCTTTTATCTAAATAAGTTTTACAATGTCAGAAAAATTGATAATTTAGTCGTTGTAATTTCAATTATAGAGGTCTGATTCCAAACGGTACCCAGTTTAAACCCTTGTCTGATCAATAATATGGAATATTTCCTTGTTTTTCCAAAAGTGTTTGATTCTAATAATTTCCTCCATTTTTCTTTAGCAAAAATCAGCAAGTCACTTTTATACAGAAACCAAGATTGAAAATTAATATTCAAAGTTAAAAACATGAATATCTTATTTATTCTTAGGTACCTGGGTTTGGAATGTAGTCGGCTGAACCCGTTTACCGCCGAGAAGCTCTTTTGCCCGCCGTATCGCCAGGAGGAGGCGTTTCTGATGTCCCAGTCTATAAAACCCGGTGTCCTACAAGAAAAACTAAAATAATATTTGTTCCGTTCTTTTGTAAATAGAAATGTTGCATATTTACCTCTAGATCTTCAATACTGATAGTTGTAACATCTAGTATAGTGTTATATCCTTGACTTCGTAGATTAGGACCATATTCATCTAATCTTAATAGTCCTAACCAGTCCTCTAGGCAGTCCTAGAATATATATAGTAGATTAGGACCATATTCATCTAGGCTTTCCTAGAGTAAAATTGATGGTACATTTAAAGATTTTGCATTTATAAAGATTTTGAAAATAGACAACCAAAAAAATCTTTTTACCGGAAGAAAATCTGGAAGACCATCCGAAATATTTAATCTTCCAATCTCAGCCTTTAGTTTCTTCCTGAAAATATTTTCAAAATTAATTCACACATTTACATTTATTTAAATAGAGTTTTGAGATGGCACTTAGAAATCGAAAAAAATGTCCATCTAAAAGTTGCTTTGTTTAAGTCGGAAAAAAAACGATATTAAAGTTTTTTAATTATTTGGGGGGCGTGAGATTTTTTATTCAACACGTTGCTCTGTTTTCCTTAAAGACAAAATTTTGGTTTGAGATAAAGAATTTATTGAATTGAATTTCCCGAATTGATTTAAATATTTCTAAAAGCTTGTAGACATGGAGGAAATTGTTTTAAATAGAATTGGTTTGCATTTCTCTCCGATAGTTTTGCAAGGATTAGTTTTTAAACTTTGCTTGCAATAATATCCTCTTTTCTACTTTGATGCAGTTAGAATATATACATCAAGGGGAGCATATATACATCATGGGGATCATATATACATCAAGGGGAGCATATATACATCATGGGGAGCATATATACATCAAGGGGAGCATATATACATCATGGGGAGCATATATACATCAAGGGAAGCATATATATATGAAGGGGAGCATATATACATCAAGGGGAGCACATATACATCAAGGGGAGCATATATATATCAAGGGGGCATATATATATATCAAGGGGAGCATATATACATCATGGGGAGCATATAAACATCAAGGGGAACATATATACATCAAGGGGAGCATATAAACATCAAGGGGAACATATATACATCAAGGGGAGCATATATACATCAAGGCAAAAATGTCAACATGGAAAAACGTAAAGGCATAAAACGTCGAAATAAAAAACGTTAACTTTCAAAATTGTTAAAGGATAAAAAGGTCAAGGCATAAAACGTCAACATTCAAAGGCGTCAATGAGTGAAAACGTTGGGATTAAAAGTCAGAAAACAAGAAAACGTCACTGCACAGTGTAACTTTTTACTTTTAGCTACGTTAACATCGAGGCTGGGTTGACTTTTATTTTTGAAATTCTAAAGTTTAGAAATTCATTTTTATTACTTTGGCGTTTTTAATGTGTTCACGTTACTGTATATGGAAAATTTCTGTCCAGTTGGACTTTTAAATCAATGTATCTGAGATTTATTTGACTAATATATAAAATTGGCTTGGCGTTCTCCCTATTTTCTTTTTATCTTTTTCTTTCTGATATTTTGCTGATTAGTTTGCTTGTCTCTTGTAAGAAATATCAAGATGTACGTTTAGATTGCCTCTTCTTTTTTGCATTTTGGGAGTCTTCATATGCAAAGGTTTCCAAATAATGTAGAAAACGACATTCAATCCGAATTTGAGTTTTTCCAATTGATTTTTTAAAACATATTTCACCTATGATTTGGTTTCTTGATTCCAACTGCTGTAAGGTCTTCTGGTGTCATCCTAAATGGAAAAAAGAATAAAATTTCAGCCATTTCTGTTCTTTTGAAATGCCAAAAAAGCTATTTAATACTTTCCACACCTTTTTCTGAAATTGAAAATATTATTTTTATCTTGAAACTATTTTTCAGATTGTGTCTTTTTAAGCTGAAAGATTAAAATATAACTTTTCTAAATCTGGTTTATACAGAGTATCAGGCCCTTCACACTCAATAGTCCGGGAAAACTTTTAATTAGTACAGGATACCAGAATACCAGGATACCAGGATACCAGGATACCAGGATACCAGAATACCAGGATACCAGAATACCAGGATACCAGGATACCAGGATACCAGGATACCAGAATACCAGGATACCAGGATACCAGGATACCAGGATACCAGGATACCAGAATACCAGGATACCAGGATACCAGGATACCAGGATACCAGGATACCAGAATACCAGGATATCAGAATACCAAGATTCCAGGATACCAAAATACCAGGATACCAGGATATCAGGATACTGGGATACCAGGATACCAGAATACCAGGATACCAGGATATCAGGATACCAGGATACCAGGATACCGGGATACCAAGATACCAGTATACACATAAATTACGCCTGCTTTTAAAAATTCATATCAATTTTTCAGACAGGGTCGACTTTGAAGTGTCGCAACGCCTTTTATTATTCTAACTTACTTATGCTTTTCTATAACCCTTTATATGTGCACTTTAACTTTGTAAAGCACTTGTAGCCTTGGTTTTAAATATTAATTGGCAAATTATCCTAGATTTTTGCTTGAGAGCTTGAGAACCTTAAAACACAGTGGATTCTAGTTCGGCTATTCTTTGCATAGTTATGTTAAAGACAGATGAACTCTATAGTATACAATTACAAAGCTCTTCTCCTGTGAAGTGGTTCAATGAGGGTGATATCAGGTCTTTTAACTTATCGACATATTACCGATTTTATACCATAGTAATATTAAAAGAAAACATAACAAAGCACCCTGAATTCTACCTGGAAATTGTTGGCATATCGTATCCAGCTGAGGTGAACAGCTGATAATATTCTTCAAAATGTAGGTCGGTCAACCAGGCAGTCAGGATTTCTTCATCCTGGGAGAAATATATAATATAATATATAATATAATATATAATATAATATATATAAAATATTATTAAAGGAAGTGTTCTCGAACTTCTATAAGAGGGTTCTGAAAGAAAGTTTCAATGAAGAGTTTAAAAGCAAAGAAAATCATTTAAAGATTCTTTGCTTGATTATTGGCTGTAGATTTATGAATAAAAGTCTACTCATCATTTTTAGCATATTCCCTGGCCCTTTAAAAAAATAATTATCAATCTCTCTCACTTTCTCTGTTAAATAATCATGGAAATATACAAGTGCTAGGCTATTAGGGCGCTTCGCACCCATCTTCCATTTCCATTGTGAACATGCTCTCTTTGTGAACATTGTAAAACAAAAACTAACAAAAAAATTTCGCCGATTTTATAAGAAATTTTTTGTCAATTTTCTAAATTTTTCAAAAAAGAATTTTTATAGAGGCAAATTTTTGAAAATTCGATCATCCATAAACCTTCACTGGGGTCACGCGAGATCCCACAAAAAAATTGGGCCCGGTCGGTTAAGCAGTTTTGACGTTTATTGGATAAAACCAACAGCAAAGTATATATATAGTAAGTTGACATTAAAAATAATTGCTTTTGCATGGAATTAAAAAAATTCTCCACTAAGTTACAATAAAAACAGTTTTCGAAAATTAACCAAAAAAATAGTATTGTGACAAGTCTTATCCGTGTTAATTTTTAATTGTATTTTTATGAATTCATTGCCATCAAAATCAACAATACTCTTCTTCTTGTTCTCACAGATAGTAAACTTAATTTGGGAACATTTAATCAATTCAAGAGTTGACTAATTACTTACTTAATTAATTAATCAATGAATAAATGAATTAATTACCGGAATCCCTGCATTTAGCATATCCTGTATATTGAGGGTGCAGATACTGTCCTCAAACCTAGAATTAAGTTAAACTAATTAATCAAAGTAAAATATTTAATCTCTAGAATTTAATCCTTTGACTTTAATGACTTAAAACCAAAACAAAATGTATCAAAACATATGACAAAAAATAGCTACTGATAAGAAAATGGCATCTCAAAAAAAGGCTATTCATAAAAAATAATTTGTCACAGTAATAAGGTCTCTTTTGCCCCAAAAATATAAATTGTCACAATAAAATGGCATATCTTGTCACAATAAAATGGCATCTATTATTTCAATAAAATGGCATCGCTTGTCTCAAAAAGATGGCCTCTCTTATTAAATAAAATGGCATCTCTTGTTTCAAAAAGATGGCCTCTCTTGTCACAATAAAATGGCCTCTCTTGTCTCAATAAAATGGCATAACAGCAAAGAAACAAAAAAATGCTGACCTGTCTCCCAGGCTTGAATTACTGCTGTGATGGCTCTGTCTACTAGAACTAATAGAATCTCCGCCAGATTGAGAGGAGACATTAGACAATCTTGTTAACCAATCAATCAATCAATCAATCAATCAATTGTCAATCAATCAATCAATTGTCAATCAATCAATCAATTAAATACTCAACGAATCAATCAATAAATAAATTGATCAGTAAATCAAATACTCAACCAATCAATTAACAAATCAATAAACCTATAAATCAATAAATCTATAAATCAATCAATCAATCAATCTATGATAATCAACCGGACAACCACTCAATTAAATACACTTCCAATTAATCAAGTACTTGACCAATCAATCAAAATCAGCCGATAAATCATTTAAAAAATCAATCAATCATCAACTAACACAATAAATTCAAACAATCTAGGTGTTTAACTTTAAACAAAAAATCGATGTACACAATCATGATTCATCTTTGGGAGGTACGATCAGTTTTACAGCTAACGGTTTTTAAATCAAAGATTTATTATGTAAGTATCAAATGATAATCTTTTATTTTTTTAATAATTCAACATTATAAAAATTAATATTTGATAACGTAATTAAAAGCTATTAATTCATGGATAAATAAATCGATTGATCAAATTAACACTGTATCATTACACCAATTAATCCATTTATTGACCGATTAATCAAACAGCCCATTTAACAATAACAAAATCAATTAAAACCATGTTGATATTCAATGAATCAAATGATAACATTTAAAAACTATTTTTACATTTATTAATCAAAAATTTATTCTAAAATCAAAATATTTATTCTAAATTGATTGGTAAAATCAAAGGATAAAATTGATTGGTTTCCTATGGGCGTGTCCTAGGTGAAGGGGAGGGCGGGGTTCCATGGTAGAATTTGAAGCCCGCCCACTGTCTGGAAATTTAAAGCATTAAAAAGATAAAGAGAACAAATATATCCTGCACTAAACTTAGTTAAATATATAATACAGTAAGAACCAGAAAATTGTAGACTAGGAAGACGACATTAAAACAAATGTATTTTATGTTTATACAGAGCAAACAGTTTTACTTGGAACTTATTAATTCAATTATTAAGTGAAATTGGTCTGTTTGCAATTGCTGAGTAAAATATAAAATATATCCTAAACTGAGTAAAATATAAAATATATCCTCAACTGAGTAAAATATAAAATATATCTTAGTCTGAGTAAAATATAAAATATATCCTAGTCTGAATAAAATATAGAATATATCTTAGACTGAGGAAAATATTAAATATATCCTAGACTGAATAAATATATAATATATCCTAGTCTGAATAAAATATATAATATATCCTAGTCTGAGTAAAATATATAATATATCCTAGTCTGAGTAAAATATAAAATATATCCTAGTCTGAATAAAATATAAAATAAATCCTTGTCTGAGTAAAATATAGAATATATCCTAGTCTGAATAAAATATAAAATATATCCTAAACTGAGTAAAATATATAATATATCCTAGTCTGAGTAAAATATATAATATATCCTAGTCTGAATAGAATATAAAATATATCCTAAACTGAGTAAAATATATAATATATCCTAAACTGAGTAAAATATATAATATATCCTAGTCTGAGTAAAATACATAATATATCCTAGTCTGAGTAAAATATAAAATATATCCTAGTCTGAATAAAATATAAAATAAATCCTAGTCTGAGTAAAATATAAAATACTAGAAATTCAAGGCGCTTCGCGCCCTTCTTTCTAGCCTTAGAGGGCGCTTCGCGCCCATCTTCTAAATTAATTGTAAACATGTTCTCTTTGTGTACATCGTAAAACTAAACAAAAATAATTCGCGGATTTTTACAAAAAATTTCGCGGATTTTCAAAATTTTAAAAAATTTAATGACGATCGAATTTTGATAGAGACAAATATTTGAAATTTTGATGATTCATAAACCTTCCCTGGGCTCCCTAGATGTCCCACAAAAAATTTGGGCCCGATCGGTTCAGCCGTTTTGACGTTTATTGGATACAAACAAACAAACA